ACCCTCTACAAATACAATAAACTTTCTTTAAACCTTTCTTGGAGCCACAGGACAAGACCCAGACCACAGGCCACAGGGGGGGGGAGGGTACCTTCTCTAAACCTTAGTTTAAACCACAGAACACAACCCAGACCACAGGCCACAGGGGGGGTGGGGGGGGTGGTGGTGGATGCTGGCGCATATAGATGTACTTTGTCCCCTGCATGTGAGATTAGATGATGCAGTAGTTTTGGTTTTCTTTTGCAATCCTTTTTTCTGGGTGTTGAGCTTTCCTCCAAGCAGTCATTCCCACTGGGCCCGCTTCAGACCTCGATGCCAGGTAACTTCCTGAAGGAGGGTTCATATCCTAGGGCTTCTTAAAAGCAGGGGGACACTAGCAGCTTAGCTTAGACTATAGCTCACGTGTGGGCCAGCAAAAAAATCCTGAAGGCTGGCGTTAGTTTTCCACAGATCCTTGGATACTAATGTCAAACCCCCCCTGCCCCTAATCTTTCCAAAATCTCCAATACATCCAATGCATGAAGTTGTATTTTTTCAATGTCAGGGGTCGGGGCGTGTTTAGTTTGGTATGCGGGGATTACTTCCGCAAAAGCGGCATCAGGTAGAGCTCTAGCAATGGCTTTCCATCCTCGGCAGGCCTCCTTTGCAAGAAGCTGAGCAAAAAAACGTGTTATTCAGCCATTCCATAAATAGGGGACCCCAATGTAGACCCACAATGCTATACTCCTTATTATGGGGACCCCTAAATGGTCCCCTTATTTGGGGAAACCCTAAACCCTTAATAGCAGTTTCCATTTTCTTTTTCATTATCTCCATATAACCCCTATATAGCCCCTGTAAACCCCCCAAAAGGTAACCCTAATCTTTGGGGAACCCCACTTCTCGGCCTGGAGGACCTTCCATCCAGCATGTCCGGCCCTTGTTTCTACATTGACAATGGTCCCAGCGCTTTGCAGCTGCACCCTACTTGTTGAGCTATAGTCTAAACTCCTTCGAGGGAGTTGTATAAAGTAATTGGGGGAAAATATTGGGGAGTATTAAAGCGGTTTCTAAGGGGGATACGAGGAGTTTAGACTATAGCTCATATAAGCCATATTTTGCCCTATGTTCCCTTGAAAGTGTCCCTAGATCACCCGATATTACCCTTATATTGTCCGTTATTCCTATTAATGTGACAAGTACATGACTGCACGGGAGCCATACCTCATGATCGGATCCCGAGGTATTTTACCATCATTTTCTTAGGCGGCGAATGGGCCATGATTGATTTCACGACAGGCGCGCATTCATGACGCCTGTGTCATTTTCTCCGTGGCAGTGATGAGATTCCTGAGTTCATTGCAGGTGGCAAGGTGGTGTGCTTGGTGTATTGTGTGCCACCCTGAGACTGGCAACGCCCTCTCTGCTCTTCTTGTGTGGTGATTTTGGGGCTGTCAAAACTACAGTCCCTTCTTGGGTCCCCCTTACACTGCTCCCCTTAACATCTAGGTCACGCACAAAATGGACCATAATTTTGACAACCCGCCTACACTTCTGAACCCTTCAGGGTTCCAAGCCCCTTGAGGTGGTTGGCATCGGGTCGCTTGGCCAAGTCATGCTTGCCTGCAGCATGTTGTCAACATGCTCAGGGTTTAGGGTTTCGGGTTTAGGGTTGAGGGCTCAGCGAAGCTACAGCACATCAGTGGGTTCAAGGTCCCCTATGTCGACCCGATTTGCCATGATCCTTCTTGCTGGAGCTTCCAACAATGGGTCCCTACTTTTGCAAGGCGTAAAGCCCATACAGCCCTCTATATGCTACATCTCCCAGAACACATGCCCCAGTATTCTTAAGGACCTTTCAGCTTGTAATATGTAGCCTTTTGATATCCCCCCTACCTAAGGGGCCTCGAATTCCTTTCGAAGTCCAATCTCCTATTGGTGTTATATTGGGGAAATGTTGGGGTTAGATTGGGGTTATATTGGGGAAATATTGGGGTTATATTGGGGTTTGAAAGTCCAATCTCCAGGCTCTACGGCATTCCGATCGGTGCGGTGTTCGAGGCGTTCAGCGATGTTCTAGCAGACCCGGGCTCAGTGATTGGGGAATTTAGGGTTTAGGGTTCAGGGTTTGCGGATTCGGGTTCTTGACAAGGGGTTTTGTTGTGGTAAATGCGTAAGTGGGTCGCCTTGAAGGAGCTATATAGAAGTACATAGGGAGATACCAGGGGAACCTGAGTCGCTGTGAGAGTTGCCAAAATTATGGTCCCCTTCGTAAACCGGCCCTGTAGGGTATACAGAAATCGACCACAATTTTGACATCCTGCCACATGGAGGTTTTCAATATACAAAAGGGTCCCTAATACAGGCCCCAGCATACGATCATCATAACCCTCATTTTATAGGTACTCCCCGAAAGGTTTTCTTTATTTTTGGAGACACCATGAGGCACATATGGAGTGATTTGCAGATGTCAGCACGCTTGGGCAAGGACCAGCAGGAAGAAGACAACAGCGCTGCATAGGCGCATTGCTGTTGGGGCTGACCCAACTGCAAATGTACAGTTTCAATGTTTCTGAGTTCAAAGACAACTCGTCTCACTCGCGGTGAAACGCGCTCAAATGAGTCAAACTTTACCCATGATGCTGGTGGAAGCTATGCGCAGAGCATTCGTTGTTAGCTTGGATGGTTTGTGTTGAATGACGTTGTGTGGGTTTCCCGGTCGGCCTGCTCCGCATGGGTAGAGATTCCATCGGTTATCAGCTAGGAGGTTGTCGGTTTGTGGCAAAAGATGGCGCTGTGAAAGGCTGGAGGGAGGGGAAGACAGACTGAGAGACAGCACAGGCTGTGCCCCAGTCTGTCACGACACGAGGGGTAATTACAGAGCTGTGAGAAGAAGAAGCAGAGAGCAGACTGGAATTTTCATACAGTTACAGAGTGAGAACGAATGAAAGATGAGCTCCCAAAAGTTATTGCACGTTTGTACAACAGGAAGATGACCTAGGACTTTTTCAGTATGAAAAGATGCCTGGAATTTGTGAGGTTTCCTCATTCTCCTGTCCTCGCTTGGGGCACTTACAGCTTCGCTTTTGGGGCCCGCAGATACGATAGATTGTGAAGCCGGCTCCATCCAGCTGCAGGATCCAGCTTGTCAAGATCTGCGCCTTCGAATAGAAAAAGCCGATCAAGAGGCAAGGTTCGACAGTTTTTGGTGTGCAGGGACCACGAAATGTCATGCAGGCTCGCTGGGCCAGAGAGCGGGAGTTGCCAACTGAGGTTTCCGAACATCATACCGCACGACCCACGAGATGCTCATGCCTGTGCTCGTTTATTAGATGTTTTCCGGGAAAACCTTTCATCCTTATCACAGGGATCCTGGTATGTTGTGGTTTTTCCTCTTGCTTCTGGAAATTCCAAATCATGCTACAGGGCCTGGAGGGGGGCTTCCTTTTTTTCTTGATTGCTCGGGCCTCTCGCGGGCTTGACGGGCCTCGGGCGGGCTTGTTTCATGCCGCTCCTGGCTTCACAGTGGAACAAGGGATCCTTGTCCTTGTGTTTTTTTTGCATCACCAGACCAGACACCAATTCCAGCAGCTTGTCTGCTGCGATTGCCGCAACATTACCCTTCCACGGCAAGCATCCAGAGTGCTTGCAGTAGAACTACTCATGCCCCGGGGCGCTGTTCACTGGGCTGCGCGATGTTGCAGCTAGCAACACAGACCAGCATTTTAACAAGGGGCTGGGCAGATCACGGCATCAAGCAGATTATTCGGGCGTTGAAACTGTTTCATGTTGAACTGGAAATGCTGTGTGAGCCTTCTTGGGCGCATGTAGTCTATAGTTAGTCGTCGCATGTTTACAGAAAACATGTGCTTAGGTCTCGCAACATTGACCAGATCAGTCGCTGGGACACTTCACGGCGTCTTGCAACCTTGCCAACATCGATAATGGGCTTGCAGTTGCCCAACCCCTAAAATTAGGACCCCCTATCATAGTCATATAATAACTATATTAGGTATAGGGTCCATATTATAGGGGTGAAGGCAACTGAAATCCCCCGTGTTGAGCATGCCAGAGGACAGCAAGCGGCTTCACTGCGAAGAGGCCGCGGCATGGCAACAGCTGCAGTGCAATGACTTGGACAACTCCTCCAATTCGGGTCTCGTTTTGAAGGTTGGTGCTGCTTTTTCTAGTTTATAATTCAGAGCACGCGGGTCGCAAGAGGTCCAGCAAGATGCATGCAGCTCAGCACGGGTTCTAAAAATGATGCATTTGGCAACAACTCAGCTGCGGTAGTCGTGTGGCATTTCAAGTCGAGCCTCGACTTGTTTGCTGGAGGCAAGTGAAGGAGCGGCGTGCTTGGTGGGCAATGGCTGGCATGCATCGTTTTGTATGAACTTCGAACTCAGGTAGAACTGCTGCGCTTGTCCCTCGACAACGTGCAGGCGCGATTGCATCAACACGCCACTTGAGAGGTAAGTGCAGACTTGATCAGGCTGAGCTGAGGCGGCTAGAAGAGGAAGCCTGGATCCCATGCAGGGACGATGGGGGAATGGACGAGAAATGGAAGCTACTCCATCATGCGGCACTTTTTGATATTATCCCAATGATGGAAAATCAAATGGGAAAGAACGTAGAACATGAAATCGAAACTGAGGCAATAGGTTTTAGTGAAGTTAGATGTTTGTTTCTTTGGCTTTGTGGCATCTTTCCCGACTTGGGCCTTTGCGCTCGACCGAGGCAGAGCCAGGGCGCTCCTGGCAAAAAAGTCTTCGTGAAAAGCTCACAGCCAGCCAGGATGCTGAAAGAGGTTTAGGCCCCCTAAACCCTAATGTTGACACCCCCCCACATTTCCAATATTTTATGTTATCCAATCTTAGGGGGGTTTGGGGGGCTTCGATAGAGGGGGAGGTGATAAACAAGAAGCATGTTTCCGCAATCCCGGAAGGGTGGCTGCATGGCTCTGCGTGGCTTGGCTGGCAGGAGAATTCCAGACAGAACGCAGCTAAATTGGCCACGTTGAAGGCCTGCATCGGCACTGCGTGACTCCCCCCACTTCTTTCACATGCTACCTTAGGCCCAGTGTCCACAACGGGCCCGGCACCTCAGCCCGTCTTCAAACACATATGTTTCTGAGTTTCGATCTGCATGACATGTTCAGGTTGCAGAGCTGAAAGCGCTGCAAGCTGCCTGGCTGATCTATTTTGGAGATGCAGACCATGCTGGAGAATCAAATGGCAAAATGGAAAGTGAAATGGAAACTGAGGTTATATAGGGGTTTAGGGAAGTTGGATTAAGTTGCCATCATGCATCAGGACATCTTACAGGTCTCACCCATCATTCATCTCTGGAGATTACAGTGCCCACTCCCAATCTGAACAGGAATTTAGGGTTCTATTTGGGTTTCGGGTTTAGGGTACAGTATCCCAGACCCAATAGGTTTATGGTTCTATTTGGGAATGGCCGCAACTTAGCCACGGGATGTTTTTGCCTTGAACGATGCACTTGTACATCTTTTGGCTATGTTGTTGCTACCAGCTTCCCAGCAGTCAATACATTTACCATTCCAATGAAGGCAAGACATTCTTGAATCAAGCTGATTAGTCTTGCTGAGTGGATCCTGATGGTAGCTATTATAAAACCCTCAGTAGTAAAGTAGTTTCCATTTTTCCATTCCCCTACATATCCCTATGTAGCCCTCGTTTCCATTCCATCTTCCATTTGATTCTCCATTTAAGTAGTTTCCATTTTCTGTTCCGTAACCCTGGTACCCAAACAGTAGTTTCCATTTTCTTTCACGCATGTTTCGGCTTCGGCAGGTGCAGGAGATCACAGACCTCCGCAGCATGCAGGCTGAGGAGCCAGACAGAAGAGCCCTGAACCCTAAACCTAGTGCAAACTACTTCAGAACAATGGTGCGAAGGAGCTCCTCAAGCTGGAGGTGGACTGGACGACGCAGGCAGCATCAAGCATCCCATTCCCGGAGGTTTTGTGGGACTTTTTTGCTTGCCCTACGTCCTGAGGTCAATCCTAGTACATTCCAGTCACGCATCTTGACTCTCAACCTTTTGCCTTTGCCTTGCTCAAGAGTGGCCTCTTCTGGCAACATGGCCGACTGTCAAGTCGAGCAGGGAATGATGGTGCAAACTACTGCGCCGTTTGTGCACGCGATAGAGATTTGTTCAGATCGCTTTGCTGATCCTGATGTTGGGGAAGATGGCCGTTGTTGCTGTTGTCGCTGCATTGCTTCTAACCATTCCTTGTCACGGAGCAAGGCCTTTGCCTGCGGAGCAGGATGATTTTTTTGACCTGCTTGCCATCGAATACCCTTTTCCAACACCTAAGGTTGAAATTGACCCGGTGGCAGGACGCCTGATGGCAGCCTGTAGCAACATTCAGAACTTGGCGGCGCTGGCTGTGGCTGCCTCGCAGATGCACAGTTTCAATGTAAGACCAGATGGGTCCTATGACTTGACCCTGCCTCAGTTTGACCTGGATCTCAGTGAAGCCCAAATCTCGTTGCTGTTGGACTCGTGCGTGAGCCTATTTGAGCAATATTCCTGGATGGCTGCACTAGAAATGGAAGCAAGCCTCTGGTGTGTTGGCGGAGGCTGCCCAAAGACAAGCTTTCAGACGTTATTAAGGAGATCAAGTATATTTTGCCCTGTCGGCTGTAGTGCCCAGCACGACAACAAGCACACTCTGGTGATTTCAGAAGTTGCTGCGCGTGCCCCTGCCCGCATGTGTTCTGTCGTGATGGAGCTCTGCGACTTCATTCAGAATTCTGCCAGTGGCATAGGCTCTCTAACTGGCTTTTCCAGGCGAGCTGCTTCTGAAATCCGCATATTTCTCGACCATGCCTTTCACACTCTGAGCTTCTCAAATCAGGGGTTTCCTGCCATGCATCCATTTGTGCAGATAGTGCAGCAAGGAGGAGCGCCTCTTTTCCGCCATGTTCCTGTGGCAGGCTTGCGTTGGGATGTCCTGCTGTATATTCTTTCGAGCTTTAGTGCTGCAGATCGGTCCAGAGGCCTTCGCGTCGCTGAGATCGGCGTTGAAAAGGGTATGACGGTCACCTACCTCATGAAGCATGACCAAGCCATTAGTGAATACTATGCAGTAGACCCCTGGCATGTGCCAGGAAAGTCAAAGGAGAGCAACAAAGTACTTGAGTCCTACTACGATAACTTGGAATCCTGGTCACGGAACGAACCAGTTCTGCAGCGCCATGGCCGCAGAGCAGTACATATTCTACGCCAAAGCTCTGAGGAAGCAGCTGGTCAAATTAATACGGACTATCTTGACGTGGTTTTCATTGATGCGGATCACACCTTCGAATCTGTTAGACGAGATATTCAGGTTTGGAAGCGCAGATTACGGCCAGGTGGCATCCTGGCTGGGCACGACTTTTCTCTGTTCCACCCTACAGTTTCCTTGGCAGTGCTTTTCGAATGCGGGCCGATGAGCGATGACAGCGCTCGATTCCCACTGCAGTCAGAATTGGACAAGCCTATTCTCCATCTCTCCGCAGACTCTGTGTGGTGGGTGAGAAGGCTATAAGACACCAACCCTGAACAACGTGCCAACTTGGAGAAGGCGTCAGGTGGCCCTCAACTGGACTTCTTGATGAACAACCATCGGCGACTTGCAGTACCAGCTCCATGCTGCCGGAGATGCCGGTTGCCTCGAAGCCCATAAGCTGCAAGATACTGAAAGCTGTGCCGGCACGGGGCTCTGAGCATTTGCCTTGGCCAAAACGGTGTTCGAAGTTCTGCTTCGTCATGCTTGGCCAGGGAGTCATTGCAACCACTTGATGTTGCAGGTGTCAGACATGCGGTCACTTCATTCTGAGGACACTCGCAGCAGCGGGCTTACAGCTGGCTTTGCGTTGAATGAGCCACTGCTGCACTCAAGCGAAGTGGCTAGGCTTGAAGCAGAGCTTGGAGGAAACGACGCGCCGTTCGCAGAGGCCTTGTGCTCGCGCCAGTGTGGATCATTTTGCCGTATTGTCTGCGGCTTCGGGACAGGATGATCCGTGAACGGGATGATGCTCGTGAGCAGGCCCTGGCAAGACATCGAGAGGCGCGCTGAAGGTGCGAGGAGGCAGTTGGTAGACTCACAGCTGTTGGATCAGGGCTCGCGGTTGCAGCAGCAGTGCTCGCCACTCAAGGTTTTTCCTTGTCCGATGTGAAGGAAGCGCTAGAGATAGCAATTGTGTGATGAGGTGCCGATGCTCGTCACGAGGCCCCTGCTGCGGCAATTACATAGAGCTAAGTAGAAGGGACACAAGAAAGTTACAGACAGCACCAGCCCAGCTTGACTTGAGTTAACCCCTCGGTGCAACTTTGACATTGAGGTGCTAGAGCTCTCGGCTCAAATCCGCCTCGCGCACCCAGCAAGAGCCTGAGAGTTCCTGAGTTCTCAATCTTCGACTTTCCGAACTTTGACCCAGGCTGTTGGGCCAGGCCTGAACCGGTCCTTTTCTGCCTGGCCCAAAGGAAAGGAAGGATTGCAGTATGAACTGTTCGACTGCGCAAGCTACTTGTAACAGCTATCATGTTCGCCGCAGTTAGGGCGGTTGGGGCTGAGCATTTCACTTGTTGCCTCACGGCTGCTGCTGAGGCTTCTTTCCTGGACTCACCAACCTTGTCCATCAAGGCGCTGAGATTCAGTGGTCTTTGATGACTTCCATTCTGAAGCCCACTGGTCCTAAGTAGGGTAGAAGGGAATACCATCCTTATATAACTTATCCCAATATTCCCCACTAAGCCCCCAGTAAGGAAAAGGACTTTTTGCTGCCGCATCAGGATGCCCAATGTGCGGACGCGGAGATGCTCGACCTCAGGCGGGCACCAGTCGTCGCAACAATGGGTTCCTTCAGAAAGTTCCAGGAGGAGTTTAGGTCATGCTGTTATGCATCATTAAAATGCTTGATGCTGCGCTGAGTACTTCACAAGCAGGCAAAGATGCAAGGAGCTGGAGAGGCAGTGCACCAGGCTAGTCGTGCCTAACACTCTACCACTTTGTTGGTGCACCGCTGAAAGATCGCACGGCTTCTAACTGCAGGATGCACGGCTTGCTGGAAAAAGGACAGGAGGTACTTTGCAGGGGCTTATTCAGTGTCACCTGCTGGATGAAGCAAGTTTGTGTCCACTGCGTTCTGCAATGACAGGCCTGTGAAAGATGGCGGAGGCAAGGAATCAGTGTGGATCTTAGCTTAGAAAGACCTCTTGTGTCACGTCACGGTTGCGGTAATGTCGCCTATCACCTACCATTGGCTAGCATGGAGGGATTTAAATCTGTAATCTTCAGGTTTGTAACCTGGGTCTTGACTCCCCAAATACCTTGACGAAGAGCTATATTCCACGGTTTGGTGATCCAAACCCAGGTGTACAGACCCCAAGATTACAAGGAAAACCGTCTATATCCCCAGAAACCCTATATAGTCCCAAATGAGCAGCCCCAATACCCCGATTAAGGGTATCCATTAGAAGTTCAGGTGCAGAACCCGAAGTCCTATACTATACTCTACGCAACCGTAAGTAGCCCCAAACACCCCGCTTAAGGCTTAAGTGAATCCCATTACAAGCTCAGGTGCAGCTACCGGTGGAATAGACAGCGCGGATGATGCCGGTGGCAGACCGGAGCCTTTTGCGCCGCTGACTTGTCCGGATGCAAGAAATGCGATTTAGGGTTTTGGGGTGGAGGGTTGCAAGAAATGCGGTCTAGGGTTCAGGGCTTGGGGGATTAAGATTTACTCCCCATATGCTGTGGACTTTATTGCTGTAACCTTATATCATCGCAATGAAGACATCATTCCCACTTCATTATCCATTTACGTTTTGGTTCGTTTTCCATTCTTGGGGATCATCTCCACACAATGTCCTACTATATAATCCCTACAAAACTCTTTTATAAGTTTTTTAAACCCCATATAACGCTGTAGGACCCCATATGAGAACGGCATTGGCAGCAGAGCTGTGAGGCTGGGCCCCGACTTTCCGCGAGATGCCAGGACTTTGAACGGCAATCTGTCCACAACCATGCCATCCGTAATGTTTCAGGACAGAAAGTCCAGCTGCAATTGCGGCAGTTGTGTGAGTCCCTGGAATGTGACCTGTGGCATTGCGGCGCTGGTCGCTGACGTTTCTTTTGAGTCACGTGATACTTGCCGAAGCAGCCGAAATCTGTGCCGTGGCCCGCCATTCTGCAAGCAGCATGCTAGGGGCGGGGAGCTGAAAGGAATTTAGCAAACAAGTGCATCCGTTCAGCAGAAGGTGAGTGCAAATCGGAACATCTCAGAACAGTAAACAAAATCAGACGGAACTTTCTTTTCATGCCGACTGCCGAGCCTCGTTCGCTTTGGCCGGAAGGAGTTCAGCGCTCATCATGTTTGCCCGTTTCTGCTGGCCTCATTGCAGACAACAACCCCGTTGATGAACCCACAGTAATATGGCAATTAGGTTCCATCTTATTTTCCATTTGATTTTCCATTTGGTTCTCCGTTATTGGGGAGAAGTCCTTCTTTAACCCCTATGTGGTGGCTATATACTCCCGGAATAATCCCTGTATACCCATAATTGTACAAGCCTATCTATGGAATGACTAGATAACCCTATACCCTGTGTCATATCCCATCAAGTGGGTTTTGGTGCTGCTGAGGTGGTGCCGCTCGTTGGCGCATCGGCCTCAACGTGCGTGTCTGCAATTGCCTGGTACTGTTACTTGAGAAACTTCTGCATGATCCTACGTACCCAGCAGCTGGGTATGAAAATGTGCTTATGGTCATGCGGGATTTTGTCCGTCCACTTTAGCAGTCATCTCCAGGGGAAAAAGCTTCCCAACAGCCTGCCCGACTGTTTGCAGACCCCGCACTGATTTTCAGCGCAGCTTCATTGTCATGACCTTGTTTTGACAGGGTTTAGATCCTGCTCGCCGACTCAATTCTGGACTACAGTGGGATTTGCATGGACACGGCCTCTATGGGTCATACAAAGTCTCCTCACTTTCTCTGGAATTTGTAAAGCCTTGCGCCGAGCAGAGGGAAGGTGGACACCCTACATCCTTGACCCAGCAGGATGGACATGCAATCATCCAACAGGCTGACGCAGAGGAAGATCGAGTCGAGCTGGAGGCAGATGAAGCCGTGCAACAGATGCTGCAGTGACATCTGAAAGCGGTATGTAATTGCATTTGGTGAGGCATGGTGCCGTCGTTTTTTCGAAGAGCTTTGAGCTAATTCATTCTATCGAAGCGCACCGCGTGCGGAGACGACCATGCAGCTGCAAGGTGTGAAGCCAGCGCAGCTGGCTCTGATCATGGAGCGTTGCAGGCTGAACATCTCCTCCGGCATCATGCAGCACAAATCCGGCCCTGTGTTGGCTGGCAGATGTACATGTTGAGGTCGGATGCAGAGTCGCTGTTGACCAACGCGTCGGAAGCCACAGTTGAAAACAAGAGGAAATTGCTGGTCCACTGTTTTGATTCTTTTGCCTGACTGGCCATCAGGCCGTCGACAACCAAGACTTCAAAGCCCACCCAGTGTGCTTATCTGAGTGAAGTGACACAAACATAGCAGTGGGAGTGCTTGATGAATCGTGGGATCTACTCCTAGTATGCAATCTGTCATTTGGAGGGGTTTGGTGCATTCAAGGAAGGTGTCTGTGTGTGCTCATCAAAACAGCATTACAGAGCTTGATGCCATTCCTCAATTTGCAGCGTTGGAATCTGAAGAGGTTTTGTTTGGCCGGCTGCTTAGCTAAGCGCTGGGCGTGGCCTGGAGTGTCAGTTTTATTTCCCTCCAGTCCGCCACACAAAAAACATGGGGTATGTTGGTGTCAACTCAAAACTGGGCTTGATTTTGGCTCGTGGTCAGTGAAAAACGGACTGAACCCGTGCTCTTGAAGAGTATAATTTGGCCCCACATGAACAAGGAGCCTCCAAAAAACGGGTGCCGAAGAACAGGGATCTCAGATCCGAACAGGAAAATTTGATCGCCTGAGAGAATTAGGAGAAAGCAGCGCATTGAATATAACTTTGAATTCATTTGTTTTACATTCGCTGTCAATTGATTTAAAGTTGATTTTAAAATTGATTCCACTTAGAATTTGTTTCTGACTTCGATTTTGATGGGATTGTTAAGGTCGTTTTGATTTTGCCTAGATTTGAACTGATCTTCGTTGATTTCAAGAGTAAAGAATTTCCGGCTGAGTCCGTGGGAGAAAGAGAAGAGTAAAGATAATCTGATTTCAGTGAAACTCATTTGGTTTTCAACTAGACTTTAAGTTGCATCCGGTCTTGATCGAATTTGTGGCTGATTTCGACTAAGGTTTGTCTAATTTCAAAACGTCCCGAAGCCTATGATCCTGAAACAAATTTCATTTGAGGGTCTCCATTAATGTAAAGAAAGCTCCTCTCATTCATAGGTTCCGAAACCAATGACCCTGAAACAAATTGCTGTTAGTCTAGGGCTTGGTTGGAGACACCGTTTTTCTGCGGCCGGACTTCCATGTGATTTCCTGTTGGCTAAAGACCTGCCTGGTGCCTGATCACCAACCTATGTTCCCTCGTTTTCCAGTTTCCTGCCTTGAGCTGTACAGCCTTGGTGCCGCTCTTTGCTCTGAAGCTGCTACAGTTAGGGTTTTAGGGTTTAGGGTTCAGGGTTTAGGTTTTTAGGGTTTAGGGTTTAGGTTTTAGGGTTTAGGCTACTGCTAAACTCCTAAATCCCCAAACCCTACACCTTGAAAATCCTCCCACGCAAGGTCCGCGAGGGGAAGCTGAGGAAGTAATGCCTGACACTTTAACCCCAAGTAGCCACCTTGTTATTTGTACTGCTATAATTCCTACTTTTAATATCACTATTATTTCTATTGGTATGTTTAGGATTTGTGGTTTAAGAATTTGCGTTTCAGCTTTTCAGCTCTTGGAATTTCGAATTAAGCCTTAAACATACATCTGATTTTTTTCGTGAGGGCTCAGGGGGGGTTCAGGAAATACTGCTTTCATTCCTTTTTTTAGCCCAAAATGCCTCCGCCTTTAAAGTGTCCTTGGACCTTGGACCTGAAATTGGCCCAAACTTGCTGCTTTTAAATCTAGGAAGCTTTATGATTCGAGAGCATGGACTAGTCCTTCGTCAAGGGATCATGTGCCGTGGCGATCCCCGATTTTCTTTGCTTCAAACAAAAAAGGAGGCCTGCAGTGTGTGATCTGTTCCTGTGCCCTCTTTCTCTTGCTTAGCTTACCTCTGATTAGCAAGGAATGGAGGAATGGATCCTCGGAGTAGTCCCTACGTAATCCCCCACAGCGAAGTAGAGTCCATTTGCTTTTCCATTTCTGCATTAATCTTCATTCCCTGCTAGACACCTGGGTTGCTGTTAAGGGCCTGTTTAAAGAGTTTAGATTATGGCTCATATTACTTTATGAACATATTTATGAACATATTAAATAAGGTGTCCTTGACAGCAACCCAGCCACAGGTAAGTTGCGTGTTTGGGTTGGTGGGGTTGGAGTCTTGGGTTTTTTCTTGCGCGAACCGACCCCAAACCAAAGCATGGAGCTAGGTCCGCGTACCTAGAGGTTCTCCTTCCATGTTCCTGTAAGCCTCGCGTACGCGCGCAGAAGTGTTTCTTTGGTGCAAGTTTGCATAGGATGATTTTGGTTGAGCCCGAAGGCTAGCTAGCTTTTCGCGTCCAACAGAAAAGCAGCTCATGTGACGCAAGTCTGCGTAGGTTCACTTTGTGAAGTGCTTGCGGCGTGGGAGAAATCCTAACGAGCATGCGCGCCTGTCAGTTTTTCGCGTATACATGTGCTTTCTGTGTCAGACTCCTTTCTGTCCCATGCTCGGACTGGCATGAGTTTTCAATATGTGGTTGCAAGGTCGATGTCGGAAATGGAAGGCAGCAGCTGCTGTAGCAATGCTGCTCATGGTCGAGTGCCTGAGACACGAAGATGTAAATCACATTGGTGTGATTCCAATCACGAGCCGCTCCCAATGCGCCTGATTAGGTCGCCCTTTTGGTGGCTTGGATGTTTTGGAGACGAGAAGGCATGCTCAAACTTTCGTATGTTGCTATTTTGCTAAGTCGTGCCTATTTCTGCTCTGCCCCTAAGCCTCGCGCAGCTTCGGCCATGCAAGTAGCAAAAACACCTATAGTCCCCCTTGAGTGGATAAAATGTACTGTATATTGGGATCTTCTTGCAATATACCCCAAGCCATATTCTATCTACTTAAGGGGGTCTATACCCCTAAACCCTAAATGGTAGTAGCCATTTTGGCTCAAGCCGTTTAGGCTTCACACGGCCTGCAGTTTCCTTCCTTAACAGCCTTTATTTTCATCTGTTGCTCCTTGGCAGAGGCTGACCTCAATCATGGCTGGTGCTGCAAGACTTCAGAAAGGAGTCACCAGCGGTGAAGGCGTGCTTCCCGACATGCCTGGGTCAGTGTCCGAGCCATCCGACGAAGCACCCAAACTGCCACCTACCAGCAGCAGCTTGTTGCTGGCGCCGCTTTCAGAAGGCACAGATCAGCTTCTTCAGAGGGTTCAACATGACATCATTGACCATCCTGAGCATTATCCCGAAAAACTGGAGGCAGAGGAGGACCCTGAACCGATGTCGCGTCAAGGTACTGGCGGCAGCGACGAACCGGTGGTGCATGCTCCTTCCACGATGGGGGTCCGTAGCCAGTTGGCATCAAAGTACATCAAGGATTTCGAGCCGTCGCCTGAACCACGCCAGGCTGATCAGATGAGATGCCCCTTTGCGGTCATGCACTTCTTGATTTACACGCTGCTCTTTTTGGTGGGGGTCAGCCCTCGCCCACAGCCTGCGCTTGCCCAGAAGGTGGTCTTAGCCATCATCTTCATTGCGGCTGGAGTGAAGGCCATCCTTTGCGTGACGAAGCTCGCGCGGCATGATGGGCACGGCTTCAGCTTCTTCATGTGCTGCGCCACAGCATCCCAGGCAATCACATTTGTTGGAGTGCTTCTTGACCTGCACTGCAAGGGCTTGCCAAGCCTGATCAAGCGTCTACGAGCAGAAGCGCAAGCCAAAGAATTCATGCTGCAGCTGGCATTCAGCCAGTTGCCCGATTTTGCTGTGGTTGCATTGTACTTCTTGCTGTACTACACGGGAGCTGTCATGCAGCTACAGCAGGCGAGCCTGTGCCCTCCCAAGCATGATCGCAGCATGACATGCTTTGAATGCATCGGTGGCATCTTAACAATGGGATTGGGCTTCTGCTTACTCCTCCTCAACAGGTTCGTTGAGCAGTATGTCCATCATTTTGCACGCAAGTGCTGGCGGAGCCCGGACAACGTCAAAACTCTTGCGAAAGACTGGGCACGGATTACTGCTTTCACGAGCCTGATATCCCGGGCGATCAGCAAGGGGCACATGTTCATGATGGCGTTCGCGTTGCTGGACTGCGTGCCTGGCACTATGCAGATCCTGCTCGGCACCAGAACCAGCTCCTCAAGGGAAAGGTGCGCATCGCACTGGGTGATCCCTTCGCTGGCAATGGCGCTTGCCAACCTAATGTTCTCATTGCATGTTTGGCGAGCAGCAGCTTCAGCGACGGAAGCCTGCCATCGAATCCAGTCCTTGGTGCATCAAGTGCAGACCGTGGCGTCATCGCTCCCTCTGCACCAGCAGCACATCCTCCCCATGTACGTTCAGCAGAGCGATGCGGGAATCTTCGTCAGTGGCACGAAGGTCACCGGACCCCTCTTGCTGAAGATACTCTCGCTGATCGCTACAGCTACAGTGGCAGTCCTTACACAGATCGCAGCGATGAGTCAGGAGCAGCATCGGGATCTGCACATCCTCCGCTCTGAGGCTTTGGCAGCCATGTCGTCCAACAGCACGCTGAGAGCGCCCTGAAGCTTCATGGGCTGGAGGTCAGATGATGCACTTCGCACATCTTGGAGATCCTGTTTTGTGACATGCTGGTGGGCAACTGTATAGCTTGAGCCTCACTCGCTCGCACAGGCTCTTCGAGTACAAGTTTTGTTCCTGCAGGCTTTTGGAAGGTCAGACATGGGCTGTAGAAGGTTAGCAGTGAGCAGGAAGTTTAGGGTGCAGGGTTTAGGGTTTATCCTAAAACCTGAAGCTTAAAACCTTTAGGGTTAAGCGCTCATGGCCCTATGGTTGCCAGACCTGCTTTGAGTGACATTTACAGCTCAAAGTTCCCGCTTGCCCGGCTGCCTCCCGCACACAGCAAAAGCTGCTTGAATGATGCGAGGCCAGGGCCAATGATGTTGGTTTCAAGCAGCTGACGGTACCATCACTTGCTGTGTCTAGCTCAGCTCCTGACCCACCATTTCACTTTGCGAGGTTTCGAGTTTCGAAGAAAGTTTGCACTAGGGCCTACAATGTGAGTCTGAGCTTCAGTTCGCATGGAAGAAAATCTGCGACGCACAGCTATAGGGCTACGGGCTGGGCGGGTTGCCTGGACCCAACACGCTGAACAGTTTCAGCTCCCGCTGCGGTGGAGGAGAAAAGGTATAGGGTTGAGGGGACTTGAGGCCTTGTGAGAAGTTAACCTATAACTGGGTAGTGGGTACTGGAGAGTGCCTCATATCCCAGAGAATCTTCTGGGAGCATGCCGACCAGAACAGGACTTGCCGTGCCTGCACAGCTGTGCAATGCGCGTGTCTAACTGGTAGTTTCCATTTTTTCTTTTCTAGTATCCAATATAGAACCCCTATATAACCCCTATATTCTATCTACTTAAGGGGGTCTATACCCTAAACCCATCAACTCCAATATACCACAGTCGTTTCCATTTTCTTTTCCATTATCTCTATATAACACCAACATATACCCTATAATCCCTATATAACCCATTATAGTAGTTTCCATTTTCCTTTCCATTATCCCTACATCTACTTCAGGGGGACTTTAAGCCCGCACAAGAAAACTGGACAGGCTCGTCGAAGCGGCTTGCGGAGGCCAGGCTTCGGGCAGAGATTGATAAAGATTTAAGGTTAATGGGGGTTTAGGGTTTAGGGTTTAGGGTGAGGGGGTTTGAGGGTTTAGGGTTTCCCAAAGTTAGGGGTACCTTTTTGGGGGTCCCCATAATAAGGACTACAGTATTTTGGGTATAGATTGGGGTCCCCCTATTTTGGGAAACTACCATGTAAGGTTAATGGCATTCTTGGCCTAAGGCTTTAAGTATCCAAATAACCGGGATTGGCGCCAACAATGATTCAGATAATGACCTTTTGGACTTGAAGCCCCATTAAACCCTAAACCCTAAACGCCTAAACCCTAAACACCTAAACTCTAAACCCCTAAACCCTACCTGGAACCTCTAGGTTGGTTTCATCCAACACTGGTTGGAACACTCTTTTGATTTTCTGTTGTAGTGGTTTGACACAGATTTTGCTGCCCCCAAATTGACCCTAAACCCTAAAGCTCCCCTTAAGTAGATAGAATATGGCTTTGGGTATACTATAATAAGATCCCCATATACCCCATATTCTATCTACTTAAGGGGGTCTATACCCCTACGCCCCAAATCCTAAAAAGTAGCTTCCATTTTCTTTTCCAGTTCCCCTATATAACACCTATATAACCCCTATATTCTATCAACTTAAGGGGGACTATAAATTGAGGCAGGCGACCAGGGCGATACGGCATTGCAGATGCAGAACTTGTTTGATGCTCGCCAGTGGCCTGGCCCCTAGGGTCAGAGATCAGATTAAGGATCCCATTTGTATTATCATTACTGTTATTAGGTATTGTTAATATTATTCTTATCAGTATTATTGTTACTATTATTAGTGTTATTGCTATTATTATTGTTGGGGTTCAGGGTCTCAGCCTAGTGTGCTCCGTACAGTAAATTCGCTTGAGCTAAAAGAGGGGGGGGTTGTATGGGATCCCAGATGAGGGTCTCGGATCAGTGTGCTGTTGTTGCTTTTAGGGACTGCTTGGGTGCAGCAGCTGCCAGAATCGGACAATATTTGCTAGGTCTCGGAAAATTGGGGATCCCGTTTTGGGTCTCTTTCTGGGTCCCTCTAGTTAGGGAAACTACCACTTGTTTGGTTGCTTGTATTTGTTTGCTGCATGTAGAGCAATAAAATATCAGGACACCTTCGATTCGCTCAAAGGGTGGGCTGTGCAGACCAAAAGCCAAAGAAATCCATGTCATTTTCCATTTCTTGGCCATTTCAGTCTGCATCACTTTAACCTTAAACACTAAACGCTACACCAAAAATCCTTGAAGGGAAGTTTTATGTACTCAAGGGCCTTGCCAGCATCAGCCTGCATAATTAGAAGGAGAAAGGACCCATGAAAAAGCCCGGGTTTGCAACGGTTCGTCAAATCCTGGTTCGATAGGCCTCAGGGCTGCACGGAGGCGTGAGTGAAGGATTCAACAGCAAACTTGCGCTTTGTACGTAGCACTTACGCTTCGGTTCGTTCTGGTAGTTTTGGTCGTTGCTTTTTGGAGCCCAGGTTACGGGCTGGTTCCCAAGTTACCTGAGACACATGACAAGGATGTTTGGATGCATTGATTTAATCACGTCCTTGGCCATGCCTGGTGGGTAGCAAGACAGTACAGAAGGTCCAAGGCTGCCCGGCCTTGGGCATCTGGCTCGTCTCCTGTTCACGTTTCTCTCAAAGATCTTGTGCAAGAAGCATTCGGAGAGCAAGCCAACTGCAATTGGATGAGGGCCATTGCAACAGATCTGCCACCAGAACGTCAAACCAGACCCGGCCTTAAGAAGACGGCGGCTAGGGAGCACAGCTTGCTTAGCAAGCGCTGGAACTGGCGAAGCATGTCGCCTGGTCATGTGGCGCAACCCCCGTTCTGCCTTGCGCTTCTCAAAGGGTCTGTGGCTGGCGTTAAGCTGCCATTGGTGGTGGGAGCCGTAGAGCAAGCTGAAAGAACTTTTGTGTTTGTCATTTGAGGCTTGGTCGGGTGGGCGGGACATCACACTTTTTCTGCACGGGCAACTCTGAACCAGATGGACGTTGCCTGTTTGCTTCAATGCAGACTCGTTGTGGTGCGTGTCATGTCTCTGAGGTTCTTTCCAGTCCGGCAACATGACTCGACCACGGCGACTACAACTTCGTCGCGCCAGCTCCACCAAACGTCCTCTAAATCATTTGCGAAGAGCCTCTCAAGCGACACAGCAACCACAAGCACTACTTTGACAAGCAGCCCTACCACCACAACCACCACAACCACCACAACCACCACAACCATCACAACCACCACAACCACCACAACCACAGTCAATCCCTGCACTACACCGAAAACTCGTGGTATGCTCAGAGTCCTTGGAATGGTGCAGACAAGCAAGAGCGCGGAAGTTGCCATTGCATTGAGCCCAGGTCTTTTTCCGTCATTGCGGCCAGTGGACTCTTATGCACCGTGCTTGCAATCCTGTGCCCACTGAATAGTGCGATCGAATGAAGTGACGTGGAAAGGTCAACCATTATGACCCGCATAATCACTTGAGGCCGCTAGCTTCTTGCAGTCTTGCAGAGTGTGTGGTTGTTCGATGCAAGTGCAGCTGTGCGCATCAGACGTCTGAAGTGAGCATGCGCTGATGACACACCTCTTCACACATGAAACCTCTTGACTCTTGTTCAACACTTGTTCAGCATAGCGTTGGTACGATCTTGGTTGCGCAGGATTGTTGCTGACCCGCTTAGAAGCAACAACTACTTCATCATCCTGGGCGACTGGGGAAAGGCTTTAGATGCCGGGGGGTCGCTGGCTCAATCCAGCCCTAGGAAGCGGACGACGCTTAAGCGTTTTTTGTTTGTAAGGCCTGGCGGCTGCCAGCTCAAGGTGGCAGCTTTGTTGAAGCGCGGCATCCTCAGGTTGTAAGTATCCAGAGACCCCCTAAACGATGCAAAAAATGACCCCAGTATTACATTGGGGAAAATGGGAACTAGAAGATTATTGGACCCTCTTGTGGGTCCATTTTTGGGATACTTTCAGGGGGTCTAGGTAGCGAAGAGGGATTCTTGAAGTTTTGCCCATGAGCAGCTCAGGGTACGTCAGAAGACAAAGTGAGGCGTGGCCTATTGCGGAAGTGATGCCGGGGTATCCATAAACAGGGGGCCGCAATAGATGATCCCTATAATGGGAACCCCCCGAAAAAGGGATCCCTACTGAAATTGTTGGAAATCTTAGGCCCTCTAACCCACTAATTAATGTACTCGCAGTTTCCATGTAACTTTTCATTTTCTTTCCCCTGCATGGGGTAACATCCCTGTATAACCTCCGAATACCCCATATAATCCTTATATGAGCAGTGGTCAATACTCGTGTATTAGGCACGGAGAGAAGGAATGCTGTGAGACATAGGAACCCCAAAGGCGATACCCTCAATGTAATACAGAACCATGACTGTGTTTTGGCTTAACCCCCCAAAAGCGATACTTTTCTTGCCTACGTCAAAGCCACCAAAAGCGATAGGACCCCCGAACTTGTCCATGGCATCGGAGCAAACAAGGAGTTTCGGCGAACGCTCATATAACCACTATATAACCTCTATAATCCCTATATAACCCCTATATACTCCCTATATAACCCCTTTATAGTCCCTGTATAACTCCTATAATCCCTTGATAAGCTTTATATACTCCCTATGTAACCCCGTAAAACCCCCCTTTTACCCCAATACAATCCATTTCTACCTCATAACGCCATACAACTCACATTTTGCAATTTTTGCAGGCTGGAAAGAAGCTTCTCTTCATTGCTTCAGCTGTGGCCTTACTCGTGTCATGGACCCTTAGATGATTATTATAGGGGAGAACTATAGGGGCTACTGAGGAGGATACTAGGAGTTTAGACTATAGCTCATATGGCATAAGGCACAAGCTTTTCTCCTCACTTTTTGTAGTTCTTGATGTTGCCTATCCATTTATCTCTGCGCCGACTAGCCTACTTTTTTCGGTGGCAATTGCGTAGCAGGTGACTGTCTTGCCGAGTCGAGTTTCGAAATAATTTTGGCAACCCCACCCCCAATAATGAGGAAGGTATTAGAGTCATTCAGTTATCATAGGGTCCTTATCTTGCAGGTTGGCCAAACTCTTCTTCCTGTTTGTGATTGTTTTGCAGGCGGTGGGTCGGGTTGCGACCCCAAAGCCCCCGCTCTAGTTGAAGCAACGTGACGATTGTCTGGCAGATCGCATCGAAGCTTACGTATTCTGAGGATGTGACCCAGGTTCGCCTGGGTATGATTCGGTCCGAGTCCGCGTGAAACGACCCAACACCACAAAGATTCTTGCTAAGTCGAGATTGGATTTGCCGGGCGCTCTGCTTTTGTGTCCAGAGTTGCCAACTATCCTTCGCTTTCGAAAATGGCAGGCGCCTTGAGGGACGCAGGACCATTGCCAAACATGCAGGAAGATCAGAACATGCAGGTCATGTCAATTTTTGCTAGCATTTATTCGACCAACTGATTAATTACTCCAACACGGGGGGGTTATAAAGGATGGACCATTGGGAACCTGCTTACACAAAATCACCAAAATGAGAACCTACCTTATGCCATTTTGGGGGACAGGTGTTTCAACAACTGCCAAACGGGGGGAGTTGGGGGAAAGCAGCATCTGGCTTTTTCAAACTCGGATCGGGATGAGAACAAGTAGGTTCTGATGACCCAGCAAGACCCTACATGTCGCAACCCCCTAGCTTTGGTTGAAAGCAAGCACAACACCCGGCAAATCCTATAAACTCAGCAAAAAGCTACCTAAGTGTTTTCATCTTCGGCAATGTTCTTGTCGTCGTCGTTGTCGTCCTCGTCCTGATCGTCGTCCTCGTCCTCGTCCTCCTCCTCGTCCTCCTCTTCGTCCACGTCCTCCTCCTCGTCGTCGTCGTCCTCCTCGTTGTCGTGGTGGTCTTCGAAGGGGTTGTCGTGGTTGTCGTCAATGTTTTTGCACGTGGGGTTTGCCGCGCCCACTCCACCCTGCACTTACTGTTTGAGGGCTAACGGACATGCTCATCAGATCCCGTGAAAACTCAGCAAGAGCCTACGGGAGACACTGATTTTGAGGCTAGGAACACGGAGGAACGGAACATTGCAGGGTCCCTATTTGACCCTGCTCCCCTAGTTCCCTTTCGACTTCACCGGCACATGCAAAACTTGGGAGGAAATGAAAAGCCAATTAGCGAAAACATGCAGATTTTCATCGAGAAGCATGATAGGCAGGTAGGGCGTGTATAGGGGTTAGGGGCTTGGTTCTTCGCATTGGAGGTGAGGACGCGAAACAGCCTGGGGCACGGGAGTGGATTTTCGCATTGGAGGTCGGGAGGGGGATACGATTTGGCTTGGTGAGGCCAGTGATAGGCCTCATGACCAGCTTTATGATTGTTGTGATTTTCTGTCCTCATTCGACAGCACATTCTGTTCTATCCCCCCGTGCCAACACATTGACAGATCATGTGAATGCGCTTCCGTGTTCATTCCAATTTTCAATAAGGTCGCCAAGATGATCAGCTCTCACATTAATTCAGGTTGACCCATCCATTACCTGAACCCCTAGGCTGTGTAAGTGCTCCCTAGCTTGGTGAAAATGAAGATGCCCTACGCGACAGCGTCACTTCGGACTTTATGTATGAACTTGCTCCATGCACCTGGCCATTTCAACTTGAGCACGGACCAAGCGACAGCAGGATCCTAGCTGTGAAACATGAAGACGCTTCACACAAAGACACCATTTCAAGCCCTCAGTGTGTTTACTCTCTACGCGGAAGCGCCATGTCGGACCTGAAATGTCAGGATTCTCCAGGCGGGGCATTGTTCTCTGGCCCTTTTGGCATATGACTGTTCGCAACCACGGCCAGGGATTGGCCAGACCTAGTCAAAAACGGGTGGCCGGACCAAGTCAAAAATCCCGCCTTGGTGCTCGAGCTCAATGGTCTTGCGATGCTGCGCGTGCAACGCCAGCTGGACAGCATGCTGCAGGCAATCCATGTGGTCCATGTGTTTTTCCTGCCTATTACATGCTCCTGAGCCAACGACTGACGCAACAGCCAAAGTGCTGAGTCAGCAACTTGCCATGCGTCCAAGTGCAAGCTGCAGTTGCACAGGCTTGATTCCTGTGCAACCATGCAGGCCAAACTGGCCACTCCTTGCTTCATTTCAGCCCGGGCGGAATTGTCAGTTTGCCGGCTCTGATACGTAGAGGAGTGCATCGCTCTCAGACTGTTGAGGCCTCCGATTCTGGTTTGAGGTGTGTCCAATGCGGTCGACAGCCTTTGGAACAAATGTCCTGCGTCCAACGGAGACATGCTGTTCATGTAAGACCATGCTGAAGTTGTGCGCTCCAAGCCAGTTCATGATTTCTGGCAAACTTTCCCGTATGGCGTTCTCAGATGAAATTGAAATTTTGTCGCTGTCAGGGTTGACAGTGGCAAGAAACTGAAAGCTTGCTCCTTCACTGTGCAAGTAGCTTCCTGCTTGTAGCCTATCAGCGGAGCTCCTTGGACATCGTTTTTTCCCAAGTGTCTGTTGTTGTTCACGTTTGCTACGGTGGTGATGCAATCCATCATCATAGCTTTCGAGGTCGGTGACAATTTCTATTGGACTGGTGTCACGCCCAAGGCATGTAGGGCGAATCGGATGCCGCATTGGATTATTCCGGATTGCTCATGGCCTTGTCTCCGTGGCAGGCATGGAACCTGTCCTGGTCCGAGAGAACGCCCCAGCTAATTTCATTTAGCTGATGAACATGACACCTTTTCAACAGCTGAGGCCCTATGGAGTTAACGACCACATGTCACCCTTGTTTCAGGCTCGACTTAGCATGGCAAGGTCAGCGTGCAAGCCACGTGCGGGTAGCAGTAGCATCTCTTGCTGACATGACCCGGCAACATCATGGACAAATAGTTGTATAGCCAGAGTGCTTTTCAAGTCTGGTGCGCTGATGGCAGTTGCTCTATGACATTTGATGAACCGCCGCAGCCTTGCGCCACCGCACACGCCGCTGCCACCGCCATCGACATTGCCATCGCCACAGCTCTGTCTGTGAGCGCGCTGTCGCTATCACTCTGGCCACCGCCACACCGACGCTGCCGTGCGATAGCGCCACTGCCGTCCCCATCCCCTGTTGGTGTCGGGGAGGTGGTGGTGGCGGCAGCGGCGGCCGTGAAGGTGGCGCGGTGGGTGTTGTGGTGGTTGTTGCTGCTGTTGCTGCTGTTGCTGTTACTGTTATGGAAGGGGGTGGGTGCTTCCTTGTTGTTTTGACGGATGTTCCTCAGTGTGATTCATCCTGCTGCTAAAGCTGCCCGGCTGCCAGCTGCAGTCTACATTTCAGACAGTGTTTCTGCTTTTGGCACCTGCGCAAGAGAAATTGATCTGTGGATCAAGTTTGGCCATGGACAGCCCGGCCAGGTGCCCTGGCTTGCGGTCTATGGCAACCACGACTTTGGTAGCCATGACCCCTTCGCTTTCTGCCCGCATGCAGGGCCCCCAGCTATGTTTCAGCTCGCAGTTTCAGTTGTTGACTGCCTTGTAAGGTACAGCCAAACCATGTCATGGGCTTCCAGGTGACTCAGGGAACCTGCCAGCAAAATTGAAGGCATATGCACAAGGATTCTTTGTTCAGGCTTACTCAAGCAATCAGCTGAACAAGGACTTCCGAATCATCGTACTATCAGTGTCGCAGTCTTGAGGTTTTTGTCAGCCGGTCAAGGTTCAATCCCTCTCCCGCAAACGTGAAACAGGATCGGAACCCGCTCCGTCCGGAATGGACCAGGCCGGAAGTCTGATCTTTGAAGCCTGGCATGCTGCTGAGTTGGCTGAAGGCAATTCTGGCTTCCTGACTACAATTATCACTACGAGATCCCAGATGCCGACCTGGAGGCACACTTGAATGAAAGAGAGTCCTGCTTGAGCTACGGTTGCTGTCAAGGCTCTAGTTTGGCTGAAGGTTTGTCAGTGGTGGACACAAGTCCTGTAGCTTCAGCAATTTGTTCGTAAGATTGCTTCGTTCTTCTTTGATTGCTTCTACTGTATACTTTTCTGGCACAGCGTCCGTAGCAGTCCATTGACAACAACGTGTTATTCGGAGTTGCAACCGTATTCTTTTGACTGCAACGGGCAGATTCCACGTGGCGAGGTCATTGCGATCGACACCAACGGCGCTGTTGATGGCAGTGGCCACCTGCTCATGGATGGCATGATCGGTGGGGATGTGCTGCAACCTAAGCTGTTCGTGAACTGTGATGCTGTGCGCATTAGAAATCGATCAGTAGCAAAGGAAGGGCCGGAAATGTGCAGACGATCTTTGTGGAGGTGCCGTGCCCACCGGGTGGTGTCGCTTCAAAACCTGGCACTGGATACTTCATGTGGCATGTTGGCTGCCACAGGCCGCAGTGTTTCGCAGCAATTCTTGCGCAAAGTCGCAGAGGCAGGCGACCGCGCAGCACTTTCACAGACTGCGGCCGTTGAGCCTTTATCTTTATTTCAGGCAGGCCTGAACCTCGTGAGAGAACGGGCCATTAAAAACACTGCTCTTGCCTCACGAGCGTCCATATGTTGATGGTGCTGCGTGCTGCCACGCGCCGGGGAGAAAGGCTGGCACGGTTCTGCTCATCCAGCATTACCCGGGCCTCTGTCCTCGCGCGATCTTTGAACTCGCTGACGCCTCGAGATGAGGCGTACTGCAGTCCAGTTGCACATTGGTGTTGATTGAGGCGCTGCCGCCGTCTCGAAGGGGAAAGGCAACTGCTGCCAGTGGTTCATTCGAGCATGTGTGCAAGCACGAGCTGAGCATGAGGGTGCTTGTCAGCCACTTGGCCATGCCAGCTGCTCAGACAAGTTGGCCACAAACTATACAGAACCAAGACGTTGGTCTGGGCCAGAACAGCACGCCACGAAGATCATCGAAGATCTATGTATCATTTGTTGCCTGGAATTTTGCAAATGTTATCGAAAGGCCGCTTAGTAACGACTTCCGCGCAATGGCGATGTCCCTTACCATAGACCTGGAGACACTTCCAGTGCTGATTGTTCCGGGTAAGCACCGAATGCTTCTGAAGGACGTCAAGTCCTTCCAGGTTTGCTCATCCATTCCTGACAAGTCCGACCTGCAATGCAGGGCAAATCTGCGCTGCAAGGACTTGCAGAATGTCAGGATTCAGGCTTCCAACAACCAAAAGGACTGGCAAAAGTCCAGAACTCAACAGAGCTAGATCCAACTCGTTCATCTCAGGGCGGACTGGTTCCGAGGCTATACGTGACTGAAACGGCAATGCTTCGCCAGTGCGCTATCAAGATTCCACAAAGTAAGAGACTCGGGGTGCAGCCGTGTGAAGTTTTGCCCTGTGCGCCAGGTATCTTAATGATGCCCCCGACAAGAAGTCTTGGAAACCGCCTTTGAGCGCCTGCCGGCTTGGCTACAATGAGAAGGGCGTTTTCTTGCATGAGGTCCAAGTGAATGTAAAGGCTTGCGTGTGAGAAGCTTGCGCTTCTGCAGGACCATGCCAAGCGCTACTTTGGTTTACTCGAAAGTGCCGCGCGGCATCTAGTGCCCGCAGACGCGCTCTCAGTCGGGGCTTGTGTCAACGCTGCTACCTGTGAGCATTGATGCCGGGAGTTGGCATTGAGGTCGAAACACAGGAAGCTATACCCAGGTATTATCGAAGTGAGAACTGAAACTTGGCAAGTTGAATATTCTTCGACAGGAATGCATTTCTGCACTTTGGGGGGCAATGCACCCAATGCCGAGGCCCTGAAATGATGGACTCCCTGGCAGTGAAAGTGCAAACGATATCTGACGATATGAGGCAGCAGGCCGATCGAATCGCAAAGGTGGTTCTTGTTGGTTTGCCTTGATCGATAATACAGCCACTTTAACATGTTTAGCAGGCAGTATTCTGTATATTGGGTGCTTCCATTTTCTTTTCCATTAGCCCTAGATAGCCCTATATTACCCTAAACTATCCCAATATTACCCCAATATACTAGTAAGCCAGGAATGCCAGCAGCAAACCCCAGCAAGCCCTGGTTGTAGTGATCATGGTGGCCACAGGTGATCCAATCCACTTTCCGTGCTGCCGACACCAACGGCAACGGCACTCTGAGTGGCTTGCCCAGTATTATCACAGGTTCCATTTAATTTTCCATGTTCTTTTCCATTTGATTCTCCATTGTTGGGGTAATAGCCCTATACAATCCTTACATGCCCCTATATAACCCCTATAACATTCCAGTTTGCATTTGATTTCCATGTTCTTTTCCGTTTGATTCTCCACTACTGGATCCAGATAGCAGCAAGCTGGTGCCAGGCAGGCACGAGATCGGCTCGCTCATGCGGCGGCTTGCCGGGGACTTGACTCGCTGTTTCATCGAAACTTCTGGGTTGCTGTTAAGGAACTCGAATGTACATAACAGTTAAGTTGTTCCCCTAGCATTGTAACTGAAATTAGTTTTTTTTGGCAGCAGCCCAGACTCACCGCCCAGCTTTGACACAGCCGCCTAAGGCAGTTACGGTGACAGCGCAGGAGATAGATGACTTGATGAAGGAGGCCTGTACGTAACTGTTACATGATGTCATACTGTAGATGTGCGGGCTGCTGAGTCCCTGCATCTGTGAAGATCAGGCCGACGTGAACAGAGATGACCAGATAGACTACCAAGAATTTGCTGTCGGAGTCTGAAAGAGTTTCGAACTTTCATTGTCAACACGTCCCCAACCAAGACGTGGCTGCTGATAACCAGACGCGGCTTGATCAGCGACAAGGTCAAAGTGGAATTAGGCCGCTCCAAGTGCGGATGCCCTGTCTGCGATGCTGTGATTGGAGTGGCTCGCAAGACGGGTGCCACTTTAACCCTGTATAGCCCCCCGAACCCCATCTAACCCCATATAACCCCTATATTAGAACATTTTTGCCTGGCAAAATCCTGTCAGGCACTGCTGCGGACGTCGTTAGGTGGGGCAGGCCTGGGCTCCGTGAAATTAAGGCCTTTCCAAATGCTTGCAGGGCATCCTTTCGAGTCTGGGATCACAACGGCAATGGCTTGATCTCCAAGGCGCTGCCGCTTGCCTATCCAAACTCTGAATCCTTTCCCCAAGGGGATTGTATATAACCCCAATAATGGAGAACCAAATGGAAAATGGGACATGAAATGGACAACTGGGGTTACACAGGTGCCATATATATGAATTAAGTCAAGTTACCATAAGGGGTATATGTATACATGCATATAGTAACTAATAGGGTTTCTCAATATAGTAACTTAAACTAACCCTAAACCCTAAACCCTAACAGCAACCCTGTGGCAGATTGCAGGCAGAAGTGAGGAAGCTGCTTCTTCATGCCTGCAAGCTGTCTCCAAAGGCCGCATCCCAAGCTGCAGTCAGCTCAGATTACCAAACTGTAATATACTATAATATACTATACTATAATATACTTTAGTATACTATGATATACTATAGTATATCATGGTTTACTATGATATCTTATAATAAAGACGGGGGCTCCAGGATGTTGAGATTCTGGCAGATGTCATGGACACTGATGATGATGGTCACGGCCTGATCGGTTCTGCGGTGATGATTCTGTCTTTCCTCACTGGTTGATGTCCAGGTCAGATAGACTATGATGAGTTCGTGAGTTTCTTGTTCCCACGAAATGCGTGAGGAAGTGAGCAGGAATACTAAGCTGCAAGAAGCGCCAGCGGGCCGGACACCGCCCTGTTTTGCGACTGCGAGTAGAGGCAAGAAACAGCTGCGAAGCAGCTTTTGAAGGAATCCTAGCTGTGGCACTGCGAAGCAGCTCTCCACAGCCTCAGCACGACAGCAGGAGCCGTCGTCATACAAAAAGCGTCCGCTTGCCAAACCTGTGTGTTTACGGGGTGGGGGGTTCAAAAAGCATCACCAGAACAAATCGTGTTAGAAGAAGCGAAAGAGAACACGGATGAAGAACAAGCAGATCGTGCTTCTGTCCTCTACTAAGAAGAAAGTACGGTCCATAGCTCGGGCGCCGTGCTACCTGGCAGATTCTTGTTATTGGCTTAGGCTTGGGCATAACATGGGTACATGGTAAAAAATGGTTTTCCTCATTATCGTAACCCCAATCCCATTCCACCCCATGCCGAACCACAGAGTATCCCTGCAGTGCCCAGCCGCAGAACCTGCTGCGCCCAACCTCAGAGTATCCGTGCTTTGCCCCAACCTAAAATACTCCGCAGGTTCCCTGCAGAGCCCCAATCTTTTGCTGCAGGGCGCAACTCCGGGGTATCCCTGGAGTACCCAACCCCAGGGCACAGGTTGTTCTGTCTAGAGGCCAGCGCAACATATTAGAATTACATTGCTGTGCATGCTTCATATTCTTGCTGGAAGTTGATGATGCCAGCAAACCACAAGAGGTAAGCGTGGGGATGTTCGCAATAATTTTTGTAGGGTTGCTGCAACCTGTACTGGATGATGGGCCTGAGAAGTATTGCGATTCGAGCACTTGAAAGTGTTGGTTGCATGTCTCTGGCACAGCGCCGTAAGATGGCAGGATTTGGCAGTGAAGTGCCAATCTGACGCCTCTCTTATAGTTGCATGAACAGGGATGATAATGGTGCGCATAGAATTAGCTATCTTTGCTTTTTTTAGCCTTTCCGTGTGTGGTGATGCTTTAGATGCGGCGGCTGACCTGCGAATGTAGTCTTCAAATTTTCTTGATCCCCCTAACTGTGTTGGTCTGAATCCAGGTTTTAGTCCTTCACACGTAAACCGCAGTTCTTCGATGTCATGGAAAGTTCGCTTCAGCCTGTTGCAGGTTAAAGTCATTTGTGCATATGGGCATGTTCATGATCAAAACTGCGACGTGTCTCCCTTGCCCGGTTGTTGCACTGGAGAATTGGCATGTCGAAGTTCAACATTGAAGTGCAAGTTGCATGCCAGGAAGGATCCATTTGGCCTTTGTATTGAAATACTCTCTGGCGGCGGAGGTGGTTGTTGTGGCCGCGAGGCATTCCGTTTCTTCGATTCTTAAGGATGATAAGATAAGGTATTTTGTTTCTCGATAAGAGGGACTGGCCCTGGTTGGGGTGCCAGGCTGAGTACCTACAAACATGCTTTGCATCCTCACCCATTCAAGAAATTCTTGCTGGCAGATAAATCAAGCTGGCTTCAGCGTGGTTCATCTGGATGATGATGGAGGAGTGGCATCGGTTGATGTTGAAAGCGCGCAGGCAGGGGAAAAACATATCATGAACTGCACATTCGTGATACCAGGGACGTGCGTGAAACACTGGTGAGGTACGCCTGCCACAGCATTCCTGCATCTGGTAGCTGCAGCTGCAGCTGTTTGCAAAGAGGATGCCCCGAAGACGTGGCATGACCTCAATCTGCAGAGACGTTGGAACGTGTTGTGACGTTTCGAGTTGCAGCGCATTTAGCTTGTCCCATCAGTTCTTTTTGGCGAACTCTTGGCAACTCGCCAATGTTTGCCATTCCAAGCTGACATGCATGAAACGATGCAGAGCAGAAAAAGCTGGCGTGCTGTTCTGGGAGTTTTCGTGTGCACTCTGGGGTTTGCAGAGGAATACAAACGCGAATTCGACATGTTTTGGCATGATGAGGTCTTGGTCTGAAATGACGGGCCAGGAACAAAGACTGCTGCAATGAAAAAAAGATGGAGCAGAAGACTTCCAGATTATGGAAATGATGGCATTCTTATATTTGTCATTTTTCCAGGTCTATGAGTGCGAACGGAAATTCTGAAAGGAACAAGGTAGTTATAAATGAAAGGCTTAAATCGTTGCCAAAATATTCGCAAAGGATTCGCAAGACGTTCGCGAACATATCGGGCCGCCATCTTCGTAGCTATCATCGTTTTTGGACCCCTTGCATCCTCATTATATATCAATATCGTCAACAATCATAGGGATAACGGAAAATTGGGGCTAACCATCTTATGAAAATCGATCCTTTTAGGATGATCGTATTATATTGGCGTGCAGAAATATCATATGCAGATGCGAATGGACTCGTTGAATAATTTTGAATAAGAATATTTACTAGGATTCTGATATTCAGGGAAGCATGCTTTGAATCTTATCATATTCTAGAGGAGAATAGAAAAAGAAATAGAATATTGGAGAAATCATCATATAATTAAGGAGGAGAATGAGAGGGAAATTCGATAATGATATAGGAAAATTATAAAGAAGAGGGATCTGAATTTTCTCATTCTGATGATAATGATTATTTTATTCTTATGGATTTCAAGGAATAATAATCGAATCTTATTTGGGAAGATCTTGATAATAGATTCTTGATTATTTCTTTTCGGAATAAATGGGAAAGAAATTGAATAATATTCTTCTTCTTTTTTCTGCATAAGATATTTAGATATATTATATATATATATTTCTGAATTTTTTATTTCATAAATTAATATAGGCCGTGGTTTCGTTAAGGAGAAATATTTGATTATGAAGATAAATATAATAGAAAATAATTGATTGGGAATATCATAATAGGAATCTAGGAAGGAAATATATAATCTTTCAGAATTTATAGGCTGGTTGATTTTTATATATATGGAATTAAAAATTGATTATTCTCGTCATTTTCTTTCCGTCAATAATATGGTGAGATTATTTGCTTTGATTATATAAGCTTTGATTCTAACACGAATTTCCACGTGAATTCTCTCTCTTCGGCAATTTGCGCGCCTAGAGGCTAGAGAGTATAGATTTGAGATGAAGACCTAATTCCTTTCAAGTATTTATAGAAGCCGTATATCTCTAAAATAGATTTATATGCTCTCCCGATTTGCCGCGCAGATAAGCCTAGAGAGATAAATGAGGCGGAAAGATGATATTAATTCGGAGGTCTCATAATTCTGCTGCTTACACGTCGATTTAGGAGAATATATCGTTCCGAATAGAAATCCAATTCTTCTAATTATTTATTATTATTTGCGGTCATATATTCTCATCATATATTAGATATTTCTATATTCCTCCGAATCGCCGCACAAAATATTCGCAATCATCTTGGGAGATTTTTGGTCGCGCGGCCTCCCGAACCTACCCGGTCTTTCCGCCTCATTTATCGGGGTTTCAGGCGAGCGCATAAATCCGCGGAGAGAGATACGGTCAATCTATAAATTCTGAAAGATATTGATTCTCCATCCTAGATCTATACGCTCCATCAAATAATTATATAGATTGCCAAAGAGAGATAAATCATATAGAAGATCGTTCCGTAATTAAGGACTTCACGATTAACAATCTCGAAAAGATTTTAGAACCTCTGGAAAAATCTCTGAAAATTTGGATATATTTTTGAGAAGAGCCGGAAAAATTGGGTCGCGCGCGAACGAAACAGCCGCAAATAGTCGCGCTATATTATTGATATAACGAGAAATCCTATGAAGAATGAATAATATAAATTTCCACGTCAAATCCGAGGAATTATCAATATATAAGATCTCATGTGGCAATGATTCCATATCTAAAGATTTTATTCTCTGCCCTGGTTCTATACGTTCTATTGAGCCGTCGCGCAGATAGCCAAAAGGAGATAAATGATTCGAAATCTCGGGAGATTTTTGGTCGTGCGGTTCCGCATCCGATCCGATCTTTCCGCTTCATTTATCTCTCTTATTCTAATTGCGCGACGGCTCTTGGGAACAAATAGATCTGCGTAGATAGGTACGATCAAGCTATGAATTCTGAAAATTTTTGCGCGGGTCTATACGCTCCGCCGAGTAGCCGCATAGGCAATAAAAGAGACATGAATGTCATGAAAATTCGCTCCAGGAGCAAGCGTTGCGCGATCAAAAATCGTCTCGCCCGCGCCAAAAAATCTCGAAGATTTTAGAGCATCTAGCTTTTTCGAAGGACTCTAAAATCTCCAAGATTTTAAAGCTCCTAGGGAGCCCGCGGGAGGCGTTTTAGAGGCAAGCCGGAAAAGCTAGACCGCGCGCGAACGAAATGATCGTATATAATCGCGTCATATTATTGAGCCATTTTCGTTATAGATTATCGTCGAAGATTCGGAAATATGAAATGAATAGATGATTATCTTCTAATTCTGAAGAATATATTATCCAAATATGATATTTCTAGATCGTAATACGATTTCTATATTTATAGGTCGCCTGAGATTTAGAAATCGATAAATTTATAGAGTCCGAAATTGACGATCGAAAAAGAGAAAGATCGAGATATCTATTACGATTTTCGATATAGATTTCGAAATAGATTATCTATAAAGATTAATTGGAATTATCATATTATACTAAAAGATTAATATAATAAATCTAGGAAAAGATGATTAGGATCTAATTATAATCTAATTTATATCTATAAAGAAAATTATATATCTCATAATATATCATATTATATAAAATGATCTTTCTTCTAAATATATGATAGATAATATATAGGATTCCAAATAATTTTGAAATTAGAAATATCATATATAGATATTAATTTAAAATATTCATCTATCTCATCATATAGAAGAATATCAGAAAATATATAGAATATTAGATAGATAGACTTCAAAAATATAATCAAAGAGATATCGAATTCATTTATCCTTCCAAAAAGATAGGAATCAATTTATAGAATAATTTCTGATGAATAGAAAATTATAATATTTCTTCAAATAGATCTGAATATTATAAATATCTCTCATATGATAATTCAATCATCAAAGAGAAATTTTTAGAATATATTAATATTAAGAATATATCTTCGAATTTTTATCCATCCCAGAATTTTGCAATTTCAAAAAAAAGATAGAATATTGATTCATTTAAAATCTTTCGAGATATCCAAAAATAATGAATAAGATAGAATAGAAGATTTTAGAGTCGGGCTGCTGCCTATAACAACGGATGATTTTTATTTGAGAAAATCATAACGGAAAATCCGAGGATCAAATGATATATAAATTCGCATATGAAATTCGATGAATTATCACGATTTTAAGATTATGCATGATATATAGATTCTGAAAGATTTAAGATATCTATCTCTCATGTAGAATAGATAATCGAAGAAGGAGAAATTGATCGAATTTTGGGAATATTTCGGATTGCGCGACCCCGTATCCAATCCGATCTTTCCGCCTGACTTGGAGGAACGCATGTAGCCATAGAGACAGGCATCATCAATATATAGATTCAAATAATCGAAGAGAGCCACCTACTTCAAAAATCTCGAAAATTTTAGAATCTCTAGATTTTCCAAAGAAGTCTAAAATCTTTAAGATTTTAGAATGGCGAGGGAATCCATAAGAGGGATATTATAAAACGAATCAAAAATAGAAAATTACGTATGAACGAAATAATTGTAAATGATCGCGCCCGAATATTGAAATATTAAATCCTATATAAATCTTTTCATGATATCATATTTCATAATCTCTTAGATTTTCGGAAGCTCTGCTCTTTTCAACAGATATATTATATATAATCTCTATAATCCTATATTCCAAATCCCCAATAATAATCGTCTCCCCCTAGTCTTAAGCGATATCCCCTTCTAATATCAAATCATCCGGGATCTAAATAATGATTAATATTGGGCGGGCATTATATTTTAGATAGGGCGAATTTTAAATCCCTTCCAAAATCAATGATGAATCGTATAGATTGATAAATATATATCTAATCAATTGAGATTTAATTATCCTCTGGATTTCTTAAGATAGGAGTGATACGCAATAATCATAATTATATATCATTAATATATATGAAAGATTTGAGCTAGCTTGATTCATAAGCGATTATCAAAAATATGATCCCTTTTATATTTTTCTTGAATATGAGATACCAGATAAAAAAAAAAGGGATCTACAAAGAGATCATAATATTGATAATCGCCCAGATGAAAATGAATCTGCTTCTATTTTGATTCAGAGGGATATCGATCCCTTGGAAATATAAGCTTCTATTGGAGGGGGGGGGCACTGGCTATCTGAGATAGATGCTTCGCATCCGAATAGAGATTTAATATACTAAGGACTCTGCTCATGAACCCAGTGCATCTGCAAGTTATAGACAATATCAATTCATCATTTAAATTGCCAATTGATAATTCCATCCCTCCCTTTAATTCATGATTAGCTAGTCTTCTTTAAACTAATATTGCCCTATTAAAAATATTTTTATAGATCCTTATGCCTCTGAATTTTGATGATAATCATTAGATTTTAATAGCTTATTTCTTTCTTTCTATTCTTTGAAATCCTTCATAATCTCTATAAGGCCTCATATATAATCCCTATATCGCGCCTAGATACCATCTTTATAACTTTTTATCTCCAAAATCCTCAAGCAGATCCCCACAAGGACAATCTCAGCGCTTTCGCTACAAGATCTGCTAGTTCTGGCTATCCTCTTCAGATCATTAAGATATTATAGGGATAAATAGGAGAGTATAAATGATATTAGAAGCTATTAAATTAGATTGGGAATATTATATTCTGAAATTCAGGATTTGGGATAAATATATTTTGTCTTTTTCGATCGAGACCAAAATTCAGGGAATGAATGACCTTGGACAAGATATCTTATTATTTTCAAACAATAAATCGCAGAGAAATATTCGAGCAATGGAATGAAGCAAAGAGTGCAGACCAAGATATCAATCAGATTGGATACTTGCGTGCGAGCTTGAGGTATGCGTAGCTGGCATTTCTTCTGGCGCGCATTTACCTTATTCCATCTATCTTCAATTCAAGATCGGATCCAAAACGCTTTGAGTCCGCTGAAATCGCAAAGGCAGCATCTCCTTTATGCATAGAGACGCTAATTTTATCATAAAAGAATCCTTTTATACGACAATTTACGCCAATAGATTATTCTGAGTCAATTAGGCAAGCTTCATATATAAATGCACGATAATTCGAAGAATTTTTTTTCAGACCTTAGAGCTATGGTTTCCAGACTTCAATATATATAATATTATAATTTTCGATGAAAAATCATTCGACACTATCATCGGAAATGATATTTAATTTGCAGATATATTTTAACCTATATATTACGAACCTAAATCCATTAAAGAGAACTTTAATTTCGTCCTCCTCCGACACTCAGAAACGACCATAGCCGAAATCATAATAAGAAAATGCATATATTCCAGTAAATTTTCAATATCTTAATATCATATATAATATATAAATTATTCAAAGCTTTAAAATCATAGCAGCCACTCTTCTCATCCTCCCGAATTCTCATCCAAATAAATAGAAAGAAACATAATTCGAATCTTCGGAGATTTTGAATCATATCTACTACATCCAAGCCAATCTTCCCGACTCAATTCTTTCTCTCAACTTATGCCTTATATATATAGAGCGACTCCGCAGAATATATATAAATCTCCGTATATAAATACGATCAATCCATAATTTCTATAATTTTCTATCAAAGAAGAAGAATAAATATATAGTAGAAATTCTTTATCTATATCAATTTATTTTTCCTATTCATATATTCAATTATCTTTCGTCAAAATAAATATATATATATTCATTTCGAAAAATCATATCAATATTTAGGCTTTCAATAATTTCTGTAATTTCTTATTAAAATCAGAAATCAAATATCTTCCCGTTAAAACGAAAAATAGAAATTAACAGAGATTTCTTACTAAAGAAATAGATAGAGATAAATAGTAAAGAATCAAAAATTCAAACAAACAACTAAATACAGAAGAAAACAATATAGCCTGTAGAGAGACAGATATCGACAGACATCGACAGACAAACAGACAGACCAGATCTCTTGGACGCTCATGGGGCCTTGCTGCCCATCATTCTAGGTCAATTTAAAGGATGGGCTTACTTGGATGAGCACGCCTTCCACAAGCACGTTCAGGATTCAGCTCTTTGACCCGCATCTTTAGAACATTCTCACGACACGTTTGATGATGTATACACCCTCTAAACCGTTGCTTGGCTTCAAAGGCGTTGTACAAACAATATGCAACTGCGCTAAGCGTTTGTGGCATTTACACTGGTCAGACTGCTGATTGCAGCAAAAGCTATGTGTAGGCTGATTCAGCCAATCTTTCGTTTGCATGCGTCTATCTCTCGAGGCTCAAATTCCGTCTCCATGAGACACATGAGTGTGTTTCTCATTGCGAACTAGAAGACCGTAGCAGGATCCCAACCAAGCCATCAAAGACCAAGTCTGATGATAACTTCCCTCAACTGTCAATGCTCCAGACGGCTGATTTTCAGGTTAACACAACACAGGTTTCCTAACACAATTCGAAGCATCACCAGTAATCATATCACAGCCAGACCTGTCTATGTGCAAATCTCACTCTCAAGTGGCAGATTCAGCTGTAATCCCCCCAGGCCTACAATACAAATATACTTCTCACTACTTCTCTAGATTACTACTACAATAAAGATGAACAAATAATTCTTAACTACTTCTTTAGGTTACTACGCTGATGAAGATGCAAGAAGCAGGCCTAAGGAGACTGCAGTCAGCGCATCTCGGGCGTCTTTTTCTTCATTGAATCAAGCGAGTCGACAGCCTGAACCTCAGGCTTCGTCTGCGAAATCAACTTCATCTTGGGAACTATTACTAGTACTGTTTCTGCTGCTATTACTATTACTAGTTGCTTGTACTATTACTAGAGGAATACGTATTCTGATGTAGGTGTTACTATCGTTCTTACTACTATTATTATTGTTGTTACTACTACTGTTGCTATTGCAATAAGGGCACGGCATGCAGAAGCCGCTCAAAGGGCACAGCAAATGCCATGGGCGCCTGCGAGTGTCAGCTGAATTTCCCGACCAGTTTAGTGTTTAGGGTTTAAAGGTTTATGGTTCAGGGATTAAGGTTCCAAGGTTTAAGGTTTAGGGATATAATGTTTAGTTGAAGGTTTAGTTTTTGAGACCGCCGTGCGCTATCAATTCTTCTGCTGTACATAGACCATATGCATGCATTGCCACGAGGGGTTGGGTTTTAAGGATTAGGGTAGGGACTGATGTTCGCTAACGCAAGAGGTCTACTACCCCCCTAAACCCTAAACCCCACAGATATCTCCTCATCGCCCCTATATATGGGGGTTTCCCAAAAATTAGAGGTACCAATGGTTTTTCCCATTTAGGGAAACTACCATATCCCGAGGCAAGCAAAAACATCTCCGGGCCTGTTCAGATGCTGGCACAGTGCTGGAAGGCCTTCGTCTCAGAATCAAAACACACCACAAGTGGCCGAGAATATCATTTGGATGCAAATTCTCAGCGCAGGTGCATGCCAACGACGTAGAGCCGAAAGCGGTTAAGATTATAGATCCCTGGTTGGCTGAAATACCTGGGCTGAGCAAACAGCTTGTGTCAAAATCTCAGCCATTCATGATGTTCTGCAGGCGCACGCTTGGATTATCTCTGAGTGGTACTCATTGGCAGGCCTGCGCAGTCTTCCGAATCACAGTAACAGTAATTCTAGTAGTGATAGCAATAACGAGAATAGCAGCAACAGTAACAGTAACAGATTGATTTTGCATGGTCTGGGTTGACTGAGGGGCGCACAGCCGGATTATTTCTGACCGCTCGCAGCCCACCCATGCCAAGTCTGTTGTGGACTCCTCAGCAGCTACATGGGGATTTCTCAAAATCAGGGTCCCCCTAGTTATAGAAACTATCACATGTTTTTGCCGTTTTGTTCTCCCTTAGAGAAGTTTCCATTTTCTTGTCCATTCCCCCTGTAAACCTAAACTCATATGGGAGTTTCCCAAAATTGGGGGCACCTTCTCGAGGGTCCCTAGAATAAGGATTATCGTATTTTGGCGTGTCATTGGGGGCCCCTATCCTGGGAAACTACCATATTAGTCAGTCGACTTCCTGCTCAGCCTTTGCAACAAGCTTGGCTTGGCTTCAGGCAGCCATGAAGTAAAAGGACACGGGACCTGCCAAAGACCTGCAGAAAGCACTCAGGCGAAACAAACATGGGAGTTTCCCAAATTCAGGGATACCATTTTGAGGGTCCCCATATCAACGACTGTAATATTTTTGGGTCTACATTGGGGTCTCCTATTTAGGGAAACAAGCATGCTTCAGAAGTGCGAATGAGCAGTGTCCTGTCCATGTATCCCAAGTCCATCATGCTAGCAGGTGCTCTTTGCTATTGATCTTGGCTATGGTTTGATCTTGAAACATGTATACTGATGCTGGTTTCGGTTTGATATTAAATTCTCTGCAATATGGCTCTATGCTGCCGCTGAATGTCTAGGTTAATTGCGAAAAGCTTTTCTTGTGTTATCCATTACAGTAGCTATCCGGGACTTTAGGATATCATCTTGAACAGTAGCTGTATGGGACTAAAGGATGTTATCTAGAATAGGAACGATAAGGACTGAAGGATGGTACGTGGTCATAATTTACATTGTCCCCTAGCTCATCAACAAATTAGTCCACTTGCAGCTCTAGCATGTTTTCTAATGGGTAGTTTCAACAAATTTGCGGCACCCCAATATGGACCCCAAAACTCTATAATCCTTATTATGAGGCCCTCCCAAAAGCACCGATAAATTTTGGGAAACCATTAGCCCTTAAGCCTATATCCCCCTATAAACCCCATACACAACCCCCGAAATGGTATCCCTAATTTTGAGAAACCCAAAGCCCTAAACAGTAGCTTCCACTTTCACTTCCATTCTCCCAATATATCCATTACCCCTTATTTTTGGGAAACCCTTATCCACATCTTTCAGAGAGAAGTTGTCCAAGGCACAGGCGCATTGCGGATTTTGACTGTCACGGGTACCAGCTGTGCCACCTGACACCGAATTTGACTTTCAGGGTCTAGGGTCGAGAGTCTAGGGTCAAACACTTGCCACCACATTGATCTAGTCCTATATGACCTGTTGTTTCGATGTCGTTCTCTGTTTTCAAATTGCTGTAACATCCCTATTATCCCCTATAGAAGCCTTATGGAACCTCTATCTCATTTGGTATAAAATCCCTCTAGAATCCCGGTATAGCCCCAATATATAATCCCTAATTAATACAACGCCTATATTAAGCTTTAAGCCTTTCACAGCAGCTGCCTCGGCTGTATCAGGGGCCAACAAGTGTAGGTCGAGAGGACATGGTGGGGCTTCTGGGCCTCAGGTCAGACCCACAGATTGTTTACAGTTGGGCGTTTCTCAGAAGAGGGTCCCTCAGGGATCCCAGGAAAATGCAGGGAATACAACGGGATTCTGAGGGTTCTCATTTTTGGATTCTATACGGAGTGTTGTAAATGCGATCCGTTTTGTGAGCTCCCGGCGTTCCAAAGGCACTTGCAGACAGAAGGCCTTGGCAAGTTCTGTTTGCCAAACGTCTGTGCAGGGCTGCCATCGTTTAGGCAACGCGACCTCGCCGACCCTCCCTTCTGAACGCCACTGGATTGCCAAGTCTGTGGTGGTGGACTTTCCTCGGGCAAGCACTAAAACAAGTAGAGCAGGATATGCGAAATGTACACCACGGACAAATGACATGCTTGCATGCTGGCCATGCTGCACCATCACCATAAACCCTACCGAGCTCATCTTTCTTCAACTGAATTGCTCCGGGCACCACCGCACGCATGTACGTATCAGATTTTAGCAGCATAGCAGCTGGTTCTGCTAGCACAAGCAACCAACGCACTTCCCCTGTATTACAGTCGGCACCACCACTAGCAGCTAGCAGCAGCAGGAGAGAGGAGGAGCGGCAGCAGTGAGCCACATTACGAATTTGTCAGGTTAGATTAGCCACCTAGCAGGCCAGCTGCAAGTTATCAGTAGGCACCTCGCTGCAAGGTTTCGACTTGGATTTCGAGCTGCATGCCTCAGCGACATCAGCGCTTTCACAATATTACGAGCATAAAACCAATCGGCACATAATGCTTCAGCTTTCAGGCATGGAGCAGCTGCCTGCCGACAAGCCTGCAGAAGCCGCCACCTCGTCAAATCCGAGAAAAAGTCAGCTTCAAGACATCTCCGTCAAGCCCTGTGGCACCTTGCAGGCCGTGTTGCCACATGCACGGATTCGGCAGGCCAGCACAAGGCATAGAGCAATTGAACCTGTGAAGCAGATGTCTCTCCTCAACATCAGCGGGTTGCACACTTCGCACGTGCTGTGCTGCGGAAATGTTCGCCCAAGCTACTGAATCGCCCGGAGCAACGAGCTGCTCACCTGGAAATAATCAAGCGGCAGTCATCACACGCAAGCGGATGTCAGTCAGCTGCGACAAGTCTGTGCCTGCTGTGAAGGCCTGCAGGTCCAGCGGCGCTGGCGCCAAATCGCAAAAGCCGCTGATACCAACAACCTGTTCGGGCATGCTGCAGAGATTGAAGCGGCAACAGGAGATCTTTGGTAAGCTGCTTGCTTGCACTGGAGTGGCAAGACGGTTCTCGACCAGGCAAGTGAAGATGAACCGGCCTGATGAACCAGTGGTCATCTGAAGAAGAAGATGATCCTAAAGCCTAAACCATAAATCCCAAAACCCTAGGATCCAGGCCGTCGGACGAGAATGAAGGGCTTGGCCTGGCCCAGGTACTGTAAGGCAGAAACCTAGATAACTACCAATTGTGCAGAATCAAATGGAAAAGAACATGGAACATGAAACGGAAACCAGTGTCATATGAGGGTTATGTAGGGACAGAAGGATATGACCCCAACTATGGAGAATCTAAATGCAAAAGAGCATGAACAATTGAATGGACACTGAGTCAATGAAGCTTCCAGAAACCAAAATCCAGGGGCCAGGGATGCCGGGGACCTCCGAAATTAGATATACGCTTAAAGGGGGATGGTTTACGGTTTAGGGCTTCAGGGCTTCAGGATTTGGGACTAGCACAGGGAGTGTCTATATTGGGGTCTCCGCCCATTTATGGTAACTACCGCTCAGGCCTGGCTGTCACAGATACAGCTGGTTGCACAACCACCTGCTCCTGCAAAGTATAGAGAAGCTGCAAACTGCTACATCAAGCAAAACTTGGACCCTGGACGTCCTACCTTTTTGGGTCATTTAAGAAAATACAGGACAAAAGGACATCCAGTGTCCAAGATGCAAGCTGTCCTCCAAGGTTATCCATTGCCTCTGGTCACTCTTGGGCACGTCTGCAACGCCCGCCTGCTCGCAAAGATAAACCGGGAAGGACGTGCAAACAACTATGAGAAAATACTTGATCCGCCAGGAAGTTCCTGTACACCCGATTACCTACAGCTTAGTCGTAAATGTCCCCCCCGCCCCTGATTAGTAGGTATAACCCATACAACTGTAGGTACTTGGGTCTACAGATAGGCACGGTTGTTCCCTGCACCCGCGTCGCGATTTTGTTGACAGCATGACGCATCACAAGGTGCTTCGCTTGGCGTCCCACAATTGTCCAGGTGGTTTTGGGCGTCATCGCTCGCGCTGGACACGGCGAAATTAGGTCGGCTAAGGCCACAATGAGCATCTGATGCTTTCCAAGCCTCCATTCCTGTAAATGTTGGCAAACCTTCCGCACCGAAGCTCTAAACTAAACATGGCTGAATTTTGGTGCGAGACGAGAACCCCCTGGAAGGAGGGGGTTCGGGGTAGATGGGGCGGTGGGTTCGGAAACAGTTTCCGGGCACCTGTTCCTGATGTGTCGTTCGGCTGGGATTATCATGCTTGCAGACCATTCGTGAATGTTCTGAATGATACATGGTGGATGCTCCCTAAAACCTAAACCCTAATTATCGCAAATGCTTGGACGGGCTCGTGCAATCAAACTGAATGCAAATCTGATGATCACCCTTCACAGCTCTTGCTGCCTCCCAAGTTACCAGGTCTGAGAAACATGGAAGCTGCTCTAGTGCCTTAGGTCCTTCTAAAGGGGTGAAAGGGATACGCAGGGATATATCAAAAGGGTTATAGGGACATGTGGGGATATACTTTGTCCAGGGTTTAGGGAATGACTGCCAAGATGGAGAATCAAATATGCTTGACGAAGACGCCATGGACAAGGCGGCAATAGCGGGGAAGTTTCTGATGCTCTGCCTCCGTAAAACCCATATGGAGGCAACAGGAACGTTGAGCTGCTCTCTACTAATTTGTTGAAAGCACAAATCAAATATTGGTGAGTAGTATAGCGTAGCTAGGAATTACCAGGAATCCCTAATGCTCTTGATATGCTCCTGTACAATGGCCGCCTTTTTGGGGGGTCCCATAAGAAGGATTATACGATTTTGGATTCTATATTGGGGTCCCCTTATTCTGGCAACCTAGCACACAGAGAAGAGTCAACTCCCCGTAGCCAGCAAAGAATACATGATTGGTCAGGCTTAGAGCCCAGTAGTGAACCATCAAGAATCCCTACGACTTTTGAGTTGCGCCGATACACAGACACCTCACATTTTGAAGCCTAAACCCTGACCCTACAACTATAGTAGCTTTCATTTCATTTCCATGTCCTTCTTCACTTGATTCTCAGCTACCTGAAATATCAAATCTGAGTTATTCAAAGTCAGCCCATTTTCAGAGCAGGTCCCGACATCTGAATCCGCTAGAGCTTAAGGTTTTCCTGTAGGGCCCCAATAACATCACCAGGTTTTTTAGGGGTGGCGTGGGGTGTAGGGTTTAGGGGTCTAAGGTGCAGAGGTTTAGGGTTCGCACAGAGTACAGACACACTTATGCAGGCCTCAGCTAGAATGAGAAAGCGGAGCGTGTGAGCGCCAGCATCCAGACGAAGTAGGACTGCCAAAAGTACATGACGGACCCAGTGACCGTGAAACATGTGAAACCCAGAAATGGGCAGGGAAGAGGTGTACACCTTGTAGCTTCAACTCATGCGTGGCAGCGTCGAAAAGACTTTGCAGGTCTCCCTGCAACCGGATGCCCTGCCAGCCAGGGTTGATGGCATCTGAACCGCATTCGACACCAGGGATCGGCCTCAGCCGTTAGTTCCGCACTGGCGCCCTGACACACAAGCACAACACACTAGAAGCAGCGCCCATGTGCACTTCATTCATGCAGGTTCCTGATTGCCCAGGCTGTCGTTCTCCACCGCAACAAACTGGGGATGTGACCTTGACTCGGTTTCACTTCTGCACGCTCTCAGGCTACTGTTAGATACAAGACACAGACGTGGCAACTTGCAGCAGTCTCAAAGGGCAATCCGCATCACCGGCTTTGATGATGAGACTGGCGCAGCAAAGCTCTGTCTTCCTAGTGCTTGCAAGTCAGTCTCCACCCATCCCCTTGCCTGCAGCGATGCAGTTCACCTTCGTCATGCGAGCAATTGCGAGCATACGATATCCACTGTCAAGGGGCGAGGTGGAGCCTTGCATCAACGCCGCAGGCGGCTCTTCGGATGGCTGCCTGGGAGGTCTCTTTGTCATGCAACAGGTGGAACGAAAATGCTGACGCCCCTGCTCTGGCGGTGACGGCCACCCTGCTCAGAACGTTTCACTTCGCCACATGCTCATCTGCGCAAACCGATGTCAGGGGTACCGTCCAAGCGCGCTTGCAAACGGGGCTTCCAGGAACGCACCTGACAGATCTGAAGGGCTGATTTGAGCAGAGCAGTAAAATGACATGGAATCGGGGTTTATATAGGGATGTAATTCCTATTCTTACTAATACTACTCTTATCATATCATTACGGTGACTATTCTTATTGTCATATTTCATTATATTGTATGTGTCGTGAGGCATTCCCGAGCCGGCCCCTGGCCTTAATCTCCATTCGAAGATCTGCGCTGTACATTCCCGTCCTTGAAGCTCGCTGCTCAAGCCTGGCATCCCCTGAAGCATGCAGAAGACCTACCTGTTGACAGGGGACTCTGGGACCCGAATGTTGCGTGGGACGAATTGGACTCGAGGCACTCCAGCCAAAGAGTACCGTCCAAGCCATCGAGCACAAGATATGCAAGATGGCGTTGCGGCACAAAGTGAGGGCCCACCCCTCACCCCACATCATTCTCACGATTGCTATTGCTATCATAGCTATGAATGCTACTATTCGTATCACTATTACCATGATTTTTGTCACATGTCCAGCAACGAAGCCAGCAGCTTGATGTGCGTTGTCAAGCGTGGCGGTCGCACGTGCTTCTGAGTCGTCGCCCCTTCAGCTGGAATGGCCTATCGCAGACCACCTGAGGCTGAGGTTTGCGTCGTTGCGCTGGTGAGGTAGGATATCTTATGGGGCTTATATAGGGACCATGGAAGAAAATGGAACCTACTATATTATCATATGGTAATTACGCCGTTCATCTGCAAAAATGCCTGGTTGCAGTCAAAGATGTTCCACTTCACGCCCTGGATTTGCAGCATCCCCTGAAGGCATTGACGTTGCGACGCACCAGTAAGAAACAACTTACTGATTCTTAGTAGGGAACATGGGAACATAATCCCTATATAGTCCCTACATGATATATTCCCGTATTCCCTACTATAACTGCATATGTACCATAGTCTAATACAGTAGTTTCCATGTTCTTTTCCATTATCCCTATTTAATCCCCATATAAGATAATCCCGTGTTCCCTGCTAAGAACCAGTAAGACAACCTGTTTGCAGCAGACACCTCCTGACGTGGCACCGCGACCAGCCGAATCTTCTTGGACTCCAGCGGGCCAAGTTCCACATCCTTTTTCTTACTGGCGGCTAGTAGGGAATAAGGGAATTTCTCATATAGGGATTCTATGGGGATACTAGACAAAGATATTAGAACCGTAACCAGTATATCATAATAGGGCGTATATGGTGGTTAGTTAGAGTAGGGAATAACGAAACGTATTCTATGGGGATTATAGAGAGAGAGAGAGAGAGATCTAGATACACACATATATATATATATGTAGGGATTATATTCCTTTATTCCCTACGAAGCACCAGTAAGTTTTTGCCTTGCCAGATTCCAACGACACTCCAAGTTCTCAGAAACTGCAAGCAGACCGTGCCTGCGGGGCAAACTCCACTGCCTCCGTCGAACAAGTAGTTTCCATAAAGAGGTAAATAGGTAGTCCGCAATGTAGACCCCAAAATGCTATAATCCGTAGAAAAAGGACACCCCCCCCACTCCCCCACCGAAAAAAAATAGCAAAACTTTTGGAACATCCACCAGATATTCCAGTCCTCATTATTGGGACCCCCGGCTACGCATAACTGACAGCTGGGACTTTGACTTGGACGTCTTCCAGCGCATCTCCATTTTTGTCCTCAACGTGGTTTAGGGCTTCAGGTTGAAGGTTTAGGCTGTAGGGATATTACCCAAATCATGGAGAATCATCTGGAAAAGAAAATGGAAATGAAATTGACACTGGGGTGATATAGGGGGCTTGTAGGGATTATGTAGCCCCAATTACCTTTTTTGTGGGCCATGCCTACGAATTGAGAAATAATTGCTACCAAACTGTAGGTACTGGGGTTACATGTAGGGTTTAATCCCTAAACCCGGCAATATTGGGCAAGGATCCCCGGCTGGTCAGGAGAACCAGTCTTACCGAAGCATGTGCGCAAAGTGGGGATTGTTGATATCATGGTAACTAGCCTTTAGGGACTGTATTGCTATGGGAACCCAACAGAGGCGTAATTATGAGAACCTGTAGGGTTTAAGTACCCCTTAAGTAGCTAGACAATAGGGTTTAGGGTTTAGTAATTAGGGTACCAGGACCCTGAAATTGAGTGATTGCAAGGTTTCACTTTGTCAAATCATGCATGCCGATGTCCAGCAAGCGCCCTCGAAGAGTCATGCCGAAGATTTCCCAGGTAACCCTCATGGGATTGGACCTGTCGCAAGACAGTCAGGCAGCTGCAACTTCCTGGTTGTTAGTAGGGAATGAAGGAACTTGATCCCTATATAATCCATATACAACCCCTGTGTAATACATTCCCTTATTCCCTACCAACCCCCAGAAAGGCATACAACCACTTCCGACACCAGCAGCTTTGTACATGCACCGTTGCTTCACATTGGGACCCGGGCAGCGTAAGCTCGACAGTGACCTTCAAGTGGGGGTTTCCCAAACTTAGGGGTAGCTTTAACGGGGGATTATAGGGATTATATGAGGGTTATATAGGGGATATATAGGGTTTAGGGTTGATCGTTATATAGGGTTTCGGGTTTCAAGTTAGTCTTCAAGTTAGGAAATCTTAATGCTGTCATTACTAGTATCGCTACGCTTCTTGCTATTCCTGTTCCTGTTCTAATTACCATTGCTCTTATTGCTTTTTACTTTCTTCAAGTTTTGAAGCAGGACCCTGCTAAACCCTAAACCCTAGACCCTAAACAATAAGCCCTAAACCCTAATGCTTATACCTCCCTATATACCCCTCTATCACCCACATATACCCCTTAGACGGGACCCTAAACCCTAAACCTGAAACCCTAAACCCTAAAGGTTATGGTCCAGGCGTCCCAGCCTCTGCTCCTGTGGCACTCACGCGGCGAAGCGTGTCGAAGACACGAACATCAGCCCTGCGATATGCCCCAAACCCTGTTCTAGAGATTGGGCTATATAGGGTTTAGGGCTTGGGGTTTAGGGCTTCGGGTTTAGAGGTTTAGGATTTAGGGGTTTGGGGTTTAGGTTGGGTCCTGCCCCCACCCATTAACGCTCTATAATAGGGGTCATATTCAGGGCTCTGCATAATGTGATCATAAGCATTATGTAATTGTCAATGAGTGGTGGGGGGGCAGTACCCATCCTATGACTCAAGCCCTATTCGAACTGTTGATGGCCTTCTAGTCCTTACATGCAATTGTCGTATACTAATAAACTGCGAAACCCTGATTGAATTGTCCGTCTTTTTACAGTCCTTATGAGGCTTCATGTAATGCTTGTAGAGTTTACTCTATCATGCTATGCCAACTATGTATCTCTCGTCAGCTCCGATATAATGATCCTGTAACGTACCCCGAAACCCTATTTGAATTATCTAGGCTCCCACATAGCATTACCATGCCGGCCAGTCATTTAATCTCACTCTGATGCCTCTGTCGCCAGAGCAGCTCTTGTCTGTCCTGGAAAGCAAGGAAGACAAGAGCTGCGCTTTTTTCATGCTGGGAAAAGGTAGTAGAATCTAGGTGTTGTGAATTATTGTTCAACAGTTCCGAATACCTCAAATCAGTGCAATGAAGTCATTCGAACTTTATATGCTGTCCCAGAGGCTCTCGTAAATCTATGCTGTACAGGGTCGGACATGTTTTTGAAGAGGGCCGGACTTCGCTGTCTGCAAACCAGTGCGCTTCAAACCGTTCGGAAACCTCTGAATCCTCTGAATCTGCAAGATGCCACATGGTATCTTGGCGTAATATTGGGGTAATAGTGGGATAACATAGGGTAGTATAGGGGAAGAGAAAATGGAAACTACTATGCAGTATGTTGGGCTATATTGGGGTTACTGCCTTTTGTATGCGGTCTAGCATTCTGTTGGCATTGTTGTCGTCATGTCTTTCCGTCCCCGCAATAGATGGCTTCGTGGAGACCACCAAGCTGAGAGAACTCCCAAAACAGCCAAAAATCTAGTACTAGTACTAGTAATAATACTCATAATGCTGGTATTATTAGTGATAACACGTATCGTAATTTTAGTAAGGGAATGCCAGGCCGTTTTTCTGGCCTGCCGGCTCAGGTGTGCAGCCATTCCATGTGTGAAGGGCTTGTCTCAAGCCACCTTGTAACCCAATATAAACGCTACATGAAGCGAGGATGCTTGAGCTTTGGTAGGTGTCGGCAATCCGGGGATACAGGAACTCTTTCGTCTTCATCTCTCCTTCCCTTCTTCTGTTGCTCCCTTTGCTTGTCTTGCTCTCCCTCATCTTACCTTTCACCTTCTGCAGTGCAAAATCTTAGGAGCCGCCTCCATGACAACTGTCCTACGAAATTGTAGCTTCATTCATTCTTGACAGTAGCTTTTCAACGCGAAAGCTTGTTGGCATGACATTCTCCGATGGACATGGTTCACGCGCAGCTGCACTTGCTACCCAAGTCGTCTTTTAACGACACATATTGAAATCATCACGTAGACATTTTCTTGGCTGTTGACTTGTTGCCTGACGTTGCATGTGACTACTTGGCGACGCGCGGAACTTGATTTAAGAGAGCGCGAGGCATAGTGGGCCTAATTTTTGTGGGACTGCAGCCTCAGCAAGCTTGGACGTGATGGATTGCGGAGGCTGCATTCGCGCCGGCTATTTTGCCAAGCAAGGCTCCGGCTATTTTGAACTATTTGGTTGGACATCCGCTTGACTGAGCTCACACCGCCACTGTCTCAGGTTTGCTAAAGCTGGTCATTGGCGCACGTTGCCGCCTGACTTCGATTGAAAGGCTGTCTCTGCTCCCTTGGCTTTGGAAAATGCAGTAGCCTTTCAGTGCACTTTCCGACTGGCGGTGAGTAGTTTCCAGACACAGGGGACCCAATATAGATCATCCAGAATGAGATCCCCAGCCCTAAACGCTAGAGTAGCTGTATCTTCTGCTTCATTTGGTTCTCCATAATCAAAGTTATTCCAGCAAGCAAGATGCAGACTTCAGCAAGTGTCCTCTTGGCCGAGGTTGAGGACCTCCAGAGGATAAAGCTACTCATGACTACGACTATTTTTATTTACGATCGCAAATATTAACAGTACTACAGGCATTGTATTATTGCTGTTGTTATTACTACTAGTATTGTATTCTTGCTGTAATTACTTTTGGTTGGTTTTGCCGTTTCCTATTTTTGGGGTGGCAGAGCTTCTCATGTTTCAGCGATAAGGCACCTTCTCGCCCAAGCTTTCCCAGGAGTGGGACGCCTGTGGAGGATGGCTTCAGGGCAACCGACTCAGCAACATTGGCAAAACTTATGGGTTATATGGGGATTATATAGGGATAATGGACAAGAAAATGGAAACTACTATATTAGAATGTGGTATATATGTTGTTATAGTAGGGAATCTGGGAACATATTATTTAGGGTTTATATAGGGATTTCATTCCCATATTCCCTACTAAGAACCAGTGAGCAAAAGGCCAAGCGCAGCACTTGTGAAGACCCGTGCTGCGGCTCATCCAGATAAACTCGTACTTCAGAATCAATACAAGGGATCTGGAAAGCCAGAGTGGCAGAAGTAAGCCTCCAAGCTTCAAATGAGTGCAGATTTTCTCGCCTGCAAGTCGATGGTGTTATCCACGCCAGCCCCTTGCCTCAAGTGCTTTGCATGACCCGCTTCTGCATGCGGCATGCTGCATGCTTACAATACAATGGACCAAGCATAGGTGGCAGGCGTTTGTACCCAATCCTTCATTACGTAGATGAACTCCTCATGGCACATCTCTTCCCTCATGACGCTAGCAAGACAGCCGCATTCAAGGAAGATGTTCTTGAGTGTAGCCTGCCCAGATTTTAGAATAACCCTCCTTTGTTCGGAAACGGTGTGCGTAGTGCGAGGATGCGGGCTGTCTCACAGGAAGAGCTTCTATAAATGTGTACCGACACGGGGGATGGGATCATTCTATGGTTTATGCCGTTTAAGTGTCTTGGTTTAGGTTTTTTTTTTGCAATGATTTGAGGGCCTTCCACGCAAATGGGTATGATTGCAGAAGATCTTTTCTACAGGTTGCGACGATTCTGCTGCTTCTTCCGTGAATTGCTGCTAGTAGCATTTGATATGGAAGGTCTTCACACAAACTACTATGCCTACCTGACACCGTCTGCATAGTTTGCTGGGATTTGCGGAGGGCTTCGTTGAAGTGACCTACGCTAGCGTTCTCCATCAGTTTTTTCTGGGATGTACGCAAAGCTGAATGTACGAGCTATACCTCCCTACAGTCATCACCCCTACACACCTATATAAAACACAGTTTCCTTTCATTTTCATTTTTTCCATTTGATTCTCCATTGTTCCCTACAGCTGAAACCGGCTTGCCAGTCACTCTTTACCCTTTACGGTAGATATGATGTAGGGGTAAACATTATTGTTTGGGACGCGACCGCTTGAATGATTTTCGCTCTAGTTGACTTGATGAAGAGCTACCTGTCTTAGTTTTCTATCCTTGATGAGCGTCAATGTCTCCTGGAAAACTTCAGGTGCCACGGATTCCACCCTTCTGCCTCTGTTTGCTTGTTTTTCATGCCAACAACAATTGAAATGGAGAGCTATAGGGAATCATGCAGAATCAAATGGACGAGCCAATGGAACATGCTATGAAATACACTAACCCTCAACCCTACACTATAAACCCAATTATATATAGTAACCCTAAATACCTCACCCAATTTTGTCAGTTTTCTCATCCTGGAGGCTTCTTTTTTTCTGCTGCTTTGCAAAGCTGAGCTTTGTTCGAAACTGTTCCTCAAGTGACGGGGCAGCCTATATCATCATGCAAGCAAAGCAGCCCCTCGGACGAACGATTTGCACTGAATCGCATACATTCAACAGCTTTCTCGTTTTGAGATTGCTTTGGGTGGTCCGTGACTGCAGTCTGCGCCTTGATGTAGGTGTTCTCTCGCTCCGCCTCGCTTGACATGGCAACGCCCACGCAGACTTCATGTGAGCGGGGCACCTGGATGCACACCTTTTTCGATGATTCCGCGAAGGAGTTCAAGAGCTTGAGAAAGTGTGCAAGTGACCTGCAGCTAGAATCTACTATAGTATAATATAAAGTAGTACAAGAACGTATACTGCAGTCTAAAATACAATACTATAACATGATATAACGTCATACATAGGGTTTATGTCTAGTGAGATACTGCCACCTCTTCTGATCCAAGCCCAGCACTCGTCCTTCATGCCCAGGCCTTGACGCTAACGGTCCAATGAAAGTATGTGGACAGCTCCTAGCAACAGCCCCTATATATACCCTATTACAGTGTAGTTGTTTCCGTTTTCGTATCGATTATTCCTGTAATACACTATAATCTACTATCATATACTATAATGTACAATCATATGCTATCATCTACTATCATATACCATAATATGTGATGATCTAGGAATTCTCCAAGCTTGCGTGCCGAATGCTTGTCGTGCCATGGTGAAGTGGAAGTGATCTGTGATGTGAAACCTGGCCGGCAAGATGCCCGCAAGCCTGGGATATATAGGGATTACATGGGGTTATGGTGTCATATAGGGATTATATAGGGTTATAAAGGGATAATGGAAAATAAAATGGACACTACTTTTTAAGGTTTAGGGTCGACGCTGCCGAGTGAAAAGCGCCAGCGTTACCAGCCCTTATTCAGGTAGAGCTCTACCACTGCCTGGTAGCTGAAGAGAGCCAACCTGCGAGCAGTAGTCAACCTAAAAAAGTAGTTACCATTTTATTTTCCATTATCCCTCTATAAACCTATACAATCCCTATATGACCCCATATAATCACTATATAACCCCATATATCCTTATATATATAGCCAACGCTGACAAAGCCAAGGCCTCTTGAACCCTAGTTTGTTGTAGGTGTGCCCAGCCAATACAAGGTGAAAGGCTCCCTTCCTGATCAGCCAAAATCAGTCAAGCTGCATCGCGGCGAGACTGAAATGACGGCCAGTATAACACGGTTTAGGGTTTAAGGTTTAGGGTGGTAGTTTCCCTAAATTACTGTTCCCAAAATGGGGGAAATTAATATAGGGCCCCATACTATAATGGGAACCCAAATATAGGACCCCGTATTATAGGGAATTTAGACCAATACCCATGTAGGCCCCTAAACCTTGAATATCCCTATAATCCCTGGCTTCTCCTTGTAGATCCACTGGCATAGTACAGCTGTCCAGCCTGGCACAGAGAAACAAGCTGGATATTTACCAGCGCAAAACCGAAGGGCAGCAGCTCGTAGGAACCAAAGTGGCTTGTATCATACAGCAACAATCAAGAATAAGAATACTAATAGCAATCAAACTACAAATAGCAGTTATCGTCCTAATGGTACTAACGGTGATAATGGTAACATGAATAACAGTGAGAATAAAACAGTTATACTAGCAGCAACAGAACCCTAAGCTCTAAACCCTAACCCCCTAAGTCCTAAACCCCTCTACCCTTAACCCTAAACCCTCGTGCCTGTTCTAGGATCAAGGCATTCTTCAAGTTGTTGTCCGCCAGGTCTCCGTTTACCTGACATCGTGGAAGATGTGGGGGTTTAGGGTTTACTGTTTAGGGCAGTGGAAGATGTTTCCCAAGATTAGGGGTAATGGAGGTATATTATATTGGGATAGTGGAAAAGAAGCTGGTATTCAGGGTTTAAGGTTTCCCAAGATTAGGGGTAAAGTCAGGGTCCCCATAATTGGGATGACAAACGTGGGGTCTGTATTGGCTTCCCTTTCTTTATGGAAACGACCATGTCTGTCTCAAGCCTCTTAGGTAGCGCCGGCTTTGAAGCAGCTTTTCTCACGGGTAGTTGGTTAGGGAATGGAGGAATGTCCCTACAAACCCCCCTAAGCATGCGTAACCCCGTACCTTGTTCTCTACTAGCGACCCTAAACCACAAACCGTCAACTGCAATGCTTAAACCGTACATATTCCTCCATACCCTTCTAGAACCCGTGGAAAGCCTACAAACCTTATGCATATTCTTATGTACGCCAATATAGCACCTGCAGAACCCTATACACGCCTGTATACGCCTGTACAATCCTCAACAGCCCTCAACCTTACATGGTAGTTTCCATAAGCACAGGTACCCCAATGGGGATCCCAAAATGCTATATAACTCTCATTATGCGGACCTTCCAAAAAGGATCCTCAATTTCAGGAAATCCCTCTAAAGCCTAAAACCTCAACGGCGGAGGTGTTTTTCTTTTTCCTAACGTTGGCTCCGGCTTTGACACGCCACAAAGATATGAGAGCTCAAGAACGATGACAGTTACGAGGATGGCGACCGCGACCCGCCTGATCCCTGTGACTGTTGACACTTCTGACAC